CCGCATACTGCTCTGGTGCATGCGTACTCCCCTAGAGTCTTTTTTACTTGTAACCTATGTCTACAGCCTTCGAAAAAGTGTGGCTGAGTATTTCACCCATATTTTTGATTTTTTTCGTTTTCTCGATAACTACCCCCTCTCAAAAATGAGTTTTGGTTTCAATGAATTGAAGTTTTTTTGAAAACCTCCCCTGCATAAGTGGATACGACCAACTTTTTTGCATATAAAGTTTTATTTTCAGTATACTCTGATGATAGCGTAGTTCAGAATGTTTCGGCCTCATCAATTACTAGGCAAAATTCACACTAACATATGTTTACGAACGTATTTTTAAGTTTGAATGAACGTTGGAAAACACTTAAGTAGGTCGTGTTGATTTTTTTAATCGTTTTTTGGGAATTTTTTTTTCGCGGTAAGCTTCTGTTTTTTTATTAGTTCGGTTTATTGATTTGCTGAAGTCAAGCTGTGCTCTCCAACTACGAAAATGAAAATTGCGTAAAAATTTGTGAAAGACCGCCATTTTCGAACTTTCTTAGATTTTGCAGCGGAGTAAAATTATATATCGATCCAATTTTCTAAAATTTTGTTAGTTTTATTTCAAAAAAAGGGTTAATTACCCTTGCGGTAAGCTAAGGTTTTGCAACCGGGTACTTTTTTCCCGTAAACAACAGTCCACAGGACTCATCAGGACGTCATTTCTGTACGTCATCAGGACTAATCTCTACCTTATTTCATAATGTATTCAAATTTCTTAACGTTACCGGCCAACTTAGCCTGGAGGTTACGAACATGCTTGGGACGCCAAAGGTCCTGGGTTGGAATCTTTCAAGATGATAGTATGTTTACCAATCGGGTTGTTGAAATGTCATTTTTTTGTTTTGGATTTTTTTTCACTTCTGATTTCAAAAAAAGGGGTACCAATTAAAAGACCGCATACTGCTCTGGTGCATGCGTACTCCCCTAGAGTTTTTTTTTTACTTGTAACCTATGTCTACAGCCTTCGAAAAATAGTATGAGTATTTGACCCATATTTTTGATTTTTTTTTTTTCGTTCTCTCGATAACTACCCCCTCTCAAAATTGAGTTTTGGTTTCAATGAATTGAAGTTTTTTTGAAAACCTCCCCTGCATAAGTGGATACGACCAACTTTTTTGCACATAAAGTTATGGAAATCGGAATAGTCAAATTGTAGATTTTGACCGTTTTGTTAATCTTTTCGACTTTTCTCGAAAACTAACCTATCCAATCCAATTTTTTTGGTACAAGAAGATTACCTGTATTGGGAAGCTTCTCTGCATTAGTGGACACTAACAAAAAGTTCTTTTCAAGAAGTTATCGTCCTCTGAAAATTCAATTATTTGATTTTTTGACCGTTTTTTTATACTTCCCAGTTTTTTATGAAAAAAAAGTTATGGCCTTCAAACAAGTCAAAGCTTTGAATCTTTGACAGTTTTTGTAAACTGATTCACTTTACGCGAAAACTACCGGTCCCATTCTTAGGTTGTATTCAATCGAGAATACCGGCTTTGGAAATCTTCTCTGCTTAAGCGGCCATAATCTGCTGTTTGCAGAAAAACCTTATGGATTTTGGAAAGTCTTTTGAACGCTTTTTTTAGAACTTTCGACCGTTTTCTGGAAACTTTTTGACTTTTCGTATAATTTACTCAATCAAATCTGAGATAAAAAAAATTCCATTGAAAAAACTGGTTGCGGTAATTGTTTCTGCAGAAGAGGCGATTTTTTAGTTCTTGTAAGAGAAATGTATCTCCTTGGGAAAATTGATTATCTCAAAATTTCTTACTATTTTCACTTATTTTAGTAGAGAAACAACTAAGCTTAATTTTTTTTTCAAAATCTAGTTTTTTTTTGATTTTTTATATGTTGGTGTTGCATTGCAAGTGGTGCAAAGCTCCGCTTCGCCTGTGTCGTAATTTATTTTTTAAATTTTTCAGTGCACCAAAGCCATATATATGTTTATTGAAAAGGGAAAGATGAAGTTTCATACAATTTTTTGCCAGTATTTTTTTGCGTTCATATCCACATTTCGAACTATCTGTTGGCTCTGCAGGTAGCAAGAGAGAATTGAAGTTGATCTTAGGTATTTTGCTTACAGTTGCATAAAATAGATTACAAGAAATAAGGTGTTAAGAAACAAAAATGCAGACAACAATATTGGTTTTTTGCAATCTTATAATGGAATCAAACTCACGATTGAAAGAGCTGTAACATTATCCACGTTGATTCAATGACACTTCTTGAGTGCCGTGATCAGACAAATAAATCTTGACGGAGGGATTCGGATCGGTATTAGCAGTATATGATGGTTTGTTTGGGATGTATTGAATATTCATATGGTTTGCAGAGCTTCATTTTCTACGTTAATTTATGGACGCCAAACATTTTGTCATGAATCAAAAACTACGACTGATTTCATCACATATAGTTTTGCTGCTGATTGGCCTAATAAATCAATCAAAGCGGTTTTGAGATTCTTAAATAATCACACACTTCGAAAACTTGAAATTTTTTTATAAGGTAGGGCAGATGTCAACCCAATGCGCACTCTTTTTTGAATTACATATCTCGATAGTATAAAATGGAGGGGTTCAATTACGGTAAACTAAATTGGTGCAAATCTGGCCTCCAAATATGACTGCTCAAGTACTTTTGATTTCCCAGATGGGTATTTTATTATTATTTTTGTTAAATAACTACTTCAAAAAAGTAAATAAACTTGAAATTCTCAACCCCATATTGTGGCGCTGTCATGGTGCTCCTAGGGGTTGACAATTTTGCTTCTTTTCTCCAATTGAACTTCTGTCTTAGTTTTTCGAAAACAAGAGAAGTTTTTGCAATAGAAATTTGATTGATGTTAGAACTTTTTTAAAATTATGAACAAGGTTGTTGTATGCTGTTGGCCTTTTTAGGGATCTATTTTTGAGTTTAAAATTCACATATATAATGACATTCAGAAGTTTTGGAGATATGACCATAGGCAAATTGGACAAGTTTTAGAAGAAAAATGACAAAAAAAATCACAAAATGGCGCTAAAAACTCCACCAACTAACTTGACTCGAGTAAAACAGTATTCACGGCTTAAATCGAGCATAAATAAGCTATTGTAAGCCTGCTCGCTCGCTTTATTCGCTCGACTTTACGCTACAGTTCGAAAATGTCAAGCCTGTTTTTCTCAATACTGGGTTAACTTTTCGAAAATTTCGAACTCGACCCATTCCGATGATTGTTTGTGGTACCTTTTGTGGTAAAAAGTGGAAAAAACCAAAACACACCGAATAAAAAGTCATCCCCATTTTCAATGGTTGGAACAATTATCGATAAAACTCGATTTAAGATTTTAAATTATCAATTGTTTCAAGGCAAAAAACTTAATATATTTTGGATCAATGCCTTTAAGCTTTGTGCGGGTAATTAGAAGTTCATGTTAATGATTTCTACTGTGAAATTTCATTAGCGCTATCGATAGCGATAAGTGGCTTTATAAAATGCTAGCGTGGCGAGGCTCAGACTAAGTATTTTTTCATTATCAATCTCCCCCCTGAAGTTTATCCTTCATTTAAAAAGCCAAATCAAATGCTGGTTTTTGATGTAAGAAATAAAGAGAATTTATTTCTCAGCATAATTGAAGCGTGTGTCCTTCCTTTGTTAAAACCGAGAGGAAAGCAGACGGACCAGGTATGGTCACAAAACGTTCCACAAAGTTAGAATATATAATTTTTTTATATCGTTGTGTTTTATAACAAATTAATTATTTGAGACAAAAGAAAACCTCCTAGTGATTGAACATTAATTATATTTGGTAGATTATTGAAACGAATACAATTAGATTAAATGACAAGGGGAATCAAATCAGAGCAAAATTCATTCTTTAAAGGCCAAAAAAACTTGGTTTTCATTAAGTTGAAGCTATTTTTTCGGTGTCCAAAAACGCGAGTCGTATGAGTTAGGACCGATGTGGTTAACTCATAGAGTAATTTCGGATAGGGTACACCGTCTGCTCGTCACGCTATCTTATTTTCGGCCGGATAGATTCGTGCAACTTCTTAGTCTAATACCGATCCTAATCTTACTCTTATGCTTTCTAGTCTCAGGGTGTTTAACTAGTCTCTGCTAGGCTCAATAGATCTAGAGTATACTGGTTTATTGCGGCTGCTGAAGTTCTCTTGGAGAGACAACTAATTTCTAAGTTAAATTCAAATCTCTCTGGTGCTGAAATTACAATTAATTTCAGCACTCACAAATAAGTGGGTTGTTAGTTAGATGGATCATGATTGGTTAATATTAAATACTTTACAGTGGTAAAATATCTAATTTATCCAATCATAAAATATAGTTTAGATCAGGTTCCACGTAGGTACCTTAATGAGGTTTTAATTATTTTCTTGTAGTTACTGCTTCTTCCAACTGTGACATGTTTCTATAGCTTCCATAACGCGAATGGAATTTGTTAGTGGCTTTGGACCTAGGACTCCAAATTGAGATATTGGGGTGAGATCAAGCAGGTTCCGTTTTCTAATGGAACGAAACGCAACTGAAAACAGAATTTCAAAGGCTATAAAAACCAGTCTAATGCTCTAATATTTCTTTCACAATTCCATCTTGTTATGGACGTTAGAAGACTTGAGATCAAGGGCACCCTTCTGTTTTTTCTTTTCATTAAATTGACTTGCCATTTGAGCTCAAAAAATAGGTTAGAAACTCTACAAAATAGACTTGCAATCAAATGCAAAACTAATTTCAATAGTTTTGGTCCGGTAGCTGAAGAGAATCTCAAAAGATTTGGTCTGGTTTGTCTGATTTTTACTAAATATCGTGCAAAGTAGTGAAGGAGTGCACCTGTTGCCCTTTTAGTTGGACAGAAATGCCCAACTATAGTTTTCTTTGTAGAATAAAACTTTTTTGTTTGGATCTTGTTGACTATTGAACCTTGTAGCTATAATGAACAATAAACTGCTATTTGATTTGATTTGTTTTCAGGGCTAGGATGATTTGACAGGTGTCATCAATGAAGTCATCATCCAACGCCAAATCTTTCCTGCTGATCTTTCTTTTGTTTTGGCTTCTTTTTGTATCCTTGTTTCTAATTTTATACCCTCTCCTTCTTAATTACCTTCCTAATGAAGATGAAAACATCGATTACCCGGTGTTCGAAAGAAGAAAGGATCGAAAACACGATCGTATTCTAGATGACAGTCACTGTTTATGTGTGATAGTGCCCTATAGAGACCGATGGGATCAATTGACTGTGTTTGTGCCATACATGAATGAGTTTCTAAGAGAACAAGGAATTCGATCTTATATCTACATGGTTAATCAGATGGACAGATATAGATTCAACAGAGGCGCTCTTCTCAATACAGGATTCCTATATAGTCACCCTAGCTGCGATTACATGGCATTGCATGATATAGATTTGCTACCAAACAGGGTTGTCACCTTTCAAAAAATATTTATTGTACAAATATAAAACAGAATTTTGAACCTCAAATACCGAGTTTCATTTAATTTTTTGTCTTGTTTGACAAATATCTAGCGATTAAACTGCATTTTTATGAAGCAGGCAAAACTCACCGAGATGTTAGTGATTGGTAAATTTGACTGAATTGGAAACATTTTATTGGTTACTTGCATTTGCATCTCAATTGTTTAATCGATTATGCGCCGCTATTTATGTTATATACTTAACAACAAGTGCATAAAAAGTGTTTAAAATGACTTTTTTGTGTTTAAAAAAAAGTTTAAAAAAATGTTCGGAAAATGCAAAGAAAATTGTTGATGGAATGAAGACAAAAATAGACAAGAATTGTCGGTTACTGTGCATGTAGCACAGAATGTTCCGACCATAGTCTTAAAAAATACAATTTTTTTTCCAATTAGTGTCGTTTTTCTGCGTCGTGTGATTAAAAAATCTGAGCGAAGAACATAGGGCATAGGCAATTTCGACAGCCATAGTAAAAAGCAAATTTGAAAACCATTTTTGTAGAAAAGTTAACAGAAAAATGAAAAAATCTGAAAAGTTATCAACATTTTTTTGTCAGAAAGTTTTTTATGTTTTTGATTTTTAAAATGGCACTAAAAACTCCGAAAACTAATTTTACTCGTGTAAAAATAACTTTTTAAGGTTTAAATTAAGAGTAAATAAGCTAATGTAAGCCTGGTCACTCGCTGTATTCTCTCGCTTTACCCACTCGAAACTAGACAAAAAAAATCAAAAATTTCCAACCGTTTTGACACTTGGGAAATTTTTGAAGTCGTTCGAATCACGGCTAATAGGGTTTTTATATGATATATCACTCCACACAGTCCGATGATTTTTTGTGGTACCTGATTGTGCGAGGAAAACAAAAAGAAAAAATCAAAACACCCAAATAGAAAGATCCTCTCCATTTTCAATGGTCGGAAGAATTAAGTGAGATATTATGACAACCCTGTTATGAATTAGTCATCGAGTGAGGTACAAATACCCACCTGAAGCGGGCCCGGTGCACGTGACTGCCCCCAAATACCACCCCTTCTACGATTTCCCAGACTACTTTGGAGGCATTGTTCTCATCAGGAGGGAACACTTCCAGAAAGTGAACGGCTTCTCAAACAAGTTCTGGGGGTGGGGCTTGGAGGATGACGAGTTCAGAATGAGAATTGTGGATGGGGGGTTGAATATAACAGTGCCTTCGTTTCCTGAGTCGCACAAGGTAGTCTAAAAAATCTTAGAAGTCACCGAATAGTATTTTTACCTACTTACTATTTTCATTCAATATCTGCGATTGATGTGCTTTTGTTAAATAATAGTGTTCAGATAGTAAAGTGGAAGGTTTGTCAAAAAGCAAATTAGGCTGGATAATAAAAAATTTGATTGCAACTAGATGCAAAAAAAAACAATTTTAAGCTGAAAGACAGTTAGTATCATAAGATTTGAAAATAATGTCTTATTTGTTTCAGATGAACTCCTTCGTTCACATCAGTCCAGAAGGAGCTGCGAAGAGCATCCGGGACTCGAAAGACTGGATGAACGACATGCGTCGCAAGCGAGACAGAGTCGGAGGCTACCGGAGTCTCAAATTCAAAAGCCTCCCTAGAGTGCACAAACTCACTGTAGACAGCTACCCATTCGTACAGTTAGATGTGCAGTTCCAGTGTAATGTAACACTCACGCCTTGGTGCATGTCAGAAGCATATCTATAGACTCAAACTCAAATTTAGTTTTCTATTATCTGTTCTCTTGTTGTAATTTGTCATCTATAAAATTGTATCGATATTGTAATTGCATGTCTCGGCGCTGAATTGTTGGTGCTGTATCGTCCTCCTTAGTTGTAGTTTTTTGTAATTTTTGTTCTAAAAAGTATATTTTTTGTCATTGTTTTTTTTTCGTACGACTAATAAACGATCGAAGGAATATAGCATTGCATGGCTTCATACTATGCATTTTGATTGATACCTCATTAAAAAGACAAATTTTGATGTTTTTGGGTAGCATACGTGAAGTCTTAAAGATGATTCAGACTTAAGAGGCAAAATTCGAAATGTATTTCCGTGTCGTAAATTCTTAATGCTTACTCAGATCACTCAAAAGGACAAAAAATTCATTTATTACTCTAGCGAGCTTGCGAGCGTTAGTGTATTAATACGAACCTTCTTGTCTTCTTACTCAACTCGCAAATAAAAGTGTTCACTTAAATGGAAATTTCACTGTAGCACTGGAAATTGCATAGCATCTGTTCTCTGCTTTATTTGTGGCTGGTGCTTGTCAGCAATAAAGCGTCCGTGGCTGAGTGGTTAGTGCGTGTGATTCATAATCTCTAGTTCGCAGTAGGTCGTAGGTTCGAATCCGAGGCGTAGGCGAATTTTTACAAATTCGAGGCTTATTTCTTTTTTATTGCACTATATAGAGCTACTTTTTGTCAAGTTCTCGCTAGTGTTTGCGTAGCGCAGCTTCGCCTCTTTGTTCATTGATATGTTTGTGTTATTGAATGATTTTTTTAGGTCGTGAGTTGTTTTTTTTGGGAAAATTTCTCTCTCAATTATGTTTTGAGGTGGTTCGGCTTTTGATATTTTTGTTTTCAATAAACGAATTGAGGACTTTTTAAGTTCTTCTTTTCCTTTGTTATATGGAAGGCATTTCTCTAAATAGGAGAACTGTAAAAAAAGTACCTATCATAAACAAAACCTGAAGTTCAAAGAGTTTTAAAGTGATGTTTTTTTTCGAAAATTGAAAAATGTTCAAAATTTTATATTAGTGTTTTTTCGGTTTCCGAAGTTCAAACTCATTTGCTAAATGAAAATGAAATCACGCTCACTAATTTGTAAATGGTGCGCAAAAAAATGTGATTTACTTTTAATTTCAAGCGTGGGTTTCAATTTCTAGAGTTTTCAGCGAAATAAAAAATACTCATTAAAACCGTTTCTCAAAGAGCTTGGTTTATTGAAGGTTTCTTAATTTTTTTTTCCAATTCAATTGAAGTCATGAACTTTTTTTCTGACTTACTATTAGATATGTTTGTGTATTTACACTCCTTGGGCATTTTTTTGTTATACAAAAGTTAGTCAGCTTATTATTAGCAGGTAGTTAGTGGTAAGAATCCTGGAGTATGTTTTTTAAAATTTGAAAAAGAATTGATCAGTTTTCAGTTCGTCATTTACAAATGTTAGTTCGAATTTGAGACCAGCCGAATTCTTACGAATTCCAATTTTGTTTCTGATTTTTTTATAGAGCTGCTTTTTGTGTTCTCGCTAGTGTTTCCAAAGCGCAGCTTCACCTGTGTTTAATTGTAGCTTCTACATATTGCAGATAAGCTATCAGTCGGCCTGACACCTACTGCAGAGTATTGCCCTTTGGTTTTATTTTCTTTATTCCAGGTTGACTTATTTTGAGCTCTTTTTGTGACTCAAGGCCATTTTTTTAGTCTAGAATTTTCAAGTGGTAACAATATTGCAGCCAAATTTGACCAGGTTGTAGTAGAATTTAAGCTAGAGATAAATTGGAGTCAAGTTTTTTTAAATCAACCAGCCCGGAAGTCTAACTTGGAGGTTAATTGTTTTTGGCAAGAGCGCATATATTCAACGCCCATTAAACCATAATTTACTTGCAAGAGCGCTCCTTGCAAATTGCAGTGATCGTGTGAGTTGAACCAGCATTCATATGATAGCTGGGCAACATCACTACCGAAGTGCCACATGGTAGAAGATAGAACACACTCAATGTGACGTTCTGAGTGTGATTGTATTACCACTATACTAAATGCCTCTAGATATTTCTGGGTCTTTTTTCTTATTGCGCTCAAAAATCAATATTTCAACATCTTGAACTGAAACTATTTTTCTTCAATCTGAGAATTAGCCAATAAAATTTTATTACCATCTCAAAATGTTTTGTTCATTTTAAATCAAGTTATAAGCAAGCCGTATTGGCCTGAAATGAAGATTGTTTGGAAAATTACTGAAAATCATTTCAAATACGCTCCAGGGTTTTACCAAGATCAGAAAAGAAACACAGAAAACAGCTCCAGAGATTAAAGTGACCACATTCATTTCTGCTCATATTTTAGCCTTGTTAGAAGTCGGCTTAAAATTAAATGATAGCGTTTGTTTTAACCAAACCAACCAGTGCTATCAGTAGGTTGTTCTCAGCATTGATAATTTGAATATTACAAAATCGCTAAATTAAGAAATTTGGGCTGAAAAAGTTTAAAAAAACCGTTACGTCTTCTGGAAATGAAGGATTTTCAATTTTATGAAAAAAGGGAAAAAATATTATGGAAGAAAAAGCGCCAATGATTGCTTAAAGTAATCAGTAAATAGGCGCAAATTAAATCATTAAATCATTTTGTTTAAAATTTTTGCCTTTTCTTACAAGAAGCCTTTTTCTACTTTTTATTCGAGTATGGGTAGATTTTAGGGTTGACACGAGTTTTATGTGTTAAAATTTTCCTATTTGTTATTGGCTTAAGCCATCGACGCCAAAGTTTTATCTAAATTTGCTGCTTATGAAGGACTTGAAAGCTGCTTCCTTGTCTAACATTGCACTTCCTTTACGTTCCAATAGTGTAAGCTCCAGGTACATATGTGCTAATCTGTCGGGACCCTCGTATTGTTAGGGCACCGTATTTTATTCTATCGCTTTTTTCGAATCAAGTTTGAAAGTATCCGATAAGATGCTTGTTGACAATGTATGCGAGCTCGCTAATCGCTATAAATAAAGAAAATAGCGGAAACTTATGTTTTTCGAAGTCTTCTGAAAAATTTTTAGTCCGCGATTTCAGGAAGTGTTGAAATTTTGGCTCTTTTCTTCACTGTTATGATTTTTATTTAAATTTAGGTTGCTGTACAATTTGCTCCGAATTCTTGAATAGGTTAAAAAGTGAGAAAATTTAGGGAACAAATTCTTGTAGGTTTCGAAAATTAGTGAAGAAACTTTCGAATAAATTTGAATACAATCTTTAATACTCCCAAATCTTGGCTTAATGAAAGTGGAAGCAGTTGTAAATCAGATATGAATTGACTCTTCTGAAATCAAATCTGGTCCTCTTACGGTAAATACTTTCCACGTTAACTTAGTCTAAAAAAACAGAAGTTTTCAACCCTGTTTTTCGGGACATTTTTTGAATTTTTTTTTTGGAATCCAGATCATGAGCGAAAATGGCCTGTGAAGTTTCTTTGAGATGCCTGAAGTTGCACGGAATATCCCCCTTCCTCCTCTGTAGGCTATAGTTCCTTCAACAAAAAAGTAAAATAATTTCAAATAATGAAATATACACAAAGCAAACAATTGTAGAACCTTCAATACGCTATAATAACGGCGATACTGTCGAAACATTGTTCACAAAAATCTTAGACGGCCAAGGATCTTTTTGTAGTACGTTGATCTAGGAAAACATTCAAATATTTGGTAGTTGGCCTTGGGTTTGGTTTTGAAAACACTAAAGTCGTCTGAAAACACTAGTAGTCTGAGCAGAGGTGACCTGGATTATTTCATACTTCAACTATGATGGTCTTACTACCCTTTCTGTAAACATGATTGCATCTCAAACTCAAATGATGATGTTAAATATGGACAGTTTTTGTTGGTCTAAATGGAGCAAGACATTGTTTGTGGCCATTGGTAAAAATATCTAAACAATCGAAAATAAAAGGACCTTGTAAGTCGCTGAATTGAAAGTAAATATAAGTGAGATCAAAACATTAAAAGGCGCCTGTTTGAAGGTAAAGATGATCTGTTTGCTAGCATAAGTAGGCGGACGTGCAAAAGGATGTTTGTTATTTTTATTTCTTCTTACCAAACCGAACTTGATGTAATAATTGTTTTGAAACAAATATTAGTGGTTAAATTTGATTAGCCGAACAGCTTTACGACAATATGATCGTACAAAGTTTGCTCGTATTTTGCTTCGGACCCTTCTATGGTAAGCTGGCACTGCTGTTTGGTTAATTAATTTCCCCCGTCAGTTTTGTTTACGATTTTATTAACTTCAGTTCCTCGATATTTTGTTTACAATTCACAAGAAAATCACTTGGATTTTATAATTGAGCCAATTGATTGTTAAGGTTTGCAAAAATCATCTTGTATTTCATCAAAATAACATCGTACTTGTTTTTGGTTCATTTTCTATGTGTGAAACGAGCGCTGAATTACTCATTGTAAAAGACTCTTAAACTCAAAAAGCATTCAAAAAGTATTTATTTAATCAATGACCAAATATACTGCAAGTATGGCTCCGAATTCCAATAACTCATCCCGAAAAAGCTCGCCCCCGCATTCATATGGCCACCACACTCTACCGCTGATTAACCACCCCTTCTACCAAACTCCCCCCTCCAATTCATCTTCGCCTCCGTCTCGATCCCCACCTTCCGGCTCGCCTCCTGCTGGCATGTCGCTGTTGACCCCCTTTCACCGACACTCCAACTCTGGGGAGAGCCTCCATCATCAGCAGCATAATCGGATGTCACCTGTAAACCCCCCCTCGAATCATGCTCCAGGGGGCGCCTCAACGGTGGGAATGAACGGGGTTCCGAAGCCCAGACGAGACCAGGTCCAGGAGTTTTTCAAGCTGGTCAAAGACGGGAAGATCAACGAGGTCAACCAGGCTCTCAAGAGTAACCACCAGTTTGCACTGTGTTGCGATGACAAGCAGGTAATGAACACATAAGAAGAATTCCCCAAACACATTTATCTCACATATAATTAGTTCAACGGTATTCATTTTGGACCCTTCAACCGTAACAAAAAACGGTTTTTTCTACATTGAAATTAATATATTTAATTTAAAGACACGCTTTTGCGTAAGAACACGCTTTTGGCTCTAAGAACTGATAAGAGCTGAAAACATTGGAAAATTTTTACGTTCTTTTCCAAAACTGGGCAAAAAGCGACCCACAATAGGGTTGCCATTTACCTTTTATAAACAACATAATTCCTAGAAAATTGATAGATGCATAGTTGTGGATGTTTATTTGAAAATTTTGATTTGTTTCGATTTCGAATTGTAGTTGAATTTTGTTCGCCTTGCTTCAGAACAACGCCCTGTACTACGCGGCCTCTCTCGGTGACAAGCAGATGTCGGACATCCTGTTGAACAGTGGGGCAAGTGTCAATCATCAGGGGGGAGATATCAGAAGCACCCCCCTAATGGCGGCCGCTGAGAAGGGCTTCTCACAGTGCTGCGATCTATACATCAAGAGGTTGGTTTAATAGAGCATTCAAAAATAGTTTGATTTTTCTTACCGCTAATTTCACTATAAAACCGATTAACTTCTAATTTTTTTTAAAGAAACTATGTTAGCTGCTTTGAAAACGCGGAAATTTGTGCGTCGTATGTTCATGAAATCCAAAACATAGGATATTGTATTCTAGATTGTTCATACTTAAAGCAAAATTTGGCATATGAAATTTAGTAGCCCCTTTCCAACTAAATTAGATAGAGACTTAACCTTCAGTGTCAATATAATTTTTTGCAACGGAAAAATGAGTAAACATTTTGGCTAATGATTTTTAATGAAAAAAAGGAAGCAAGACATGTTTTTGTTTCAGTGGGGCGAATGTGAATGCCGAAAACATGGCTGGCAACCGAGCTCTGCATTTGGCTGCTTCCAGAGGCCACCACGACGTCTGCCGAGTGCTCATCGAGAGCGGAGCCGAGATCGGAGCTACGAACGGGAAGAATCTGAATGCGATCAACGAAGCTCAAGCTGCTCAGCATTATAATCTAAGTGATTATTTGAGGCAGCAAATGGGGCAGAGGATGCAACCTTCGTCCACCAATCAGATGCAAGCTGGGCCAAATATGCCATCGAGAAATATGGGAGGCTCAAACACGAATGGCATATCTTCGCTTAATATAGGTAAGAACGATTTTTTTCCGAAGAAATTTTATTGATCTTGCTTGAAAAAACGTTTAACGCTGAGGTTTTTATATTTGATGGTCATGATATATAAGAGATCATGATATAACAATCCGATATTTTGTCACAAATTCTTGTTTCGACGGTATATTTAACGTAATGCTTATTGCGAGTTTCAAATTATTTCAGGATTCGGCGACCGCAATTCAAATTCCCGAAAAAGTCCCCAACGACAATCGTCAAGCAACATCAACGGAAGTCCTAACTCAAGCAGTGGAAACAGTTCACTTACTGGAGATTACAAAGGATTTCCTATCGGACAAATTTTAAATTATGAGTCGGAAAATAGAGGAACGGTAGTTGGATCGTATTCGCCTCCCGAGGATCCGATGTCTGGAATTCGAGACCCCTTCAACATCGATCTTCCATCGAGGAGTTTCTTTGAATCCGAGAAAAGTCCCTCCAAAGGTGACATCAAGAGCTTTAATTCTGTGGAGTCTATAAACGCAATGGACGTTAGTTTCGCGCACATAATCGGATCCAAAGCAGGACTTTCGTCGTCTTCGCCATCATTGGATTCAGTAAAATCCTCCCCAAATACGGAGATCCGGACATCGCCGCCTATAATGTCACTGCCAGTTTCGTTGTTTTCACCTATGTCGACTTCAAAGAACACACCTTCTCCATCTCGGCAGGAAACTTCCGATTTGGCAGCAGGGCTTGGAATCGGACTTCAGAACATCCTCTTTCCGCCATCGGAGTCCAACCCAAAAATGAACGTGGGACATCAACCTGCTTACCAAAACGGGGGACGAAATGGAAGCACTAGCAACAATGGGTTCGGAAGTCAAGGAAAAATAGGACAACATAGATTTTCCAGCGTGAATTCCAACCATCAAAGCCAAATGTCGAAAAAGGCTTGGGGAGAAAATGGTAGCGGAACTACTCAAGACGTGAACGGAAATTTCTACAATTTTCCTCATGCTCCCGAGGGGATTTTCTCCAATTTTAAAAAACCACAGTTTTCGCAATCTGGATCTGCGACCGAACTGAGAGCAACTGCGACCCCAAGTATATTTGATACTCCGGGGTATCATAGCAACCAGCAAATCGATGCTTTGATCTCTGACATCTATGAACCTAAAATTTCCATTTCCCGCAATCAGTTGCAGGATTTATTGAAACAACAACAAGCGTTTTTACAGCAGAACCCCAACCAGTTTTTGTCGACCCAAAACGGACGACATTTCATGGGTGGAAACACAGTTACTTCAACTGTTAATATGAAATCGCAGCAGATGCAAAGTCAAGACAGCTTGAGGCTTCAGTACTCGCAACTCTTGATCAATGATTTGAGTAAGAAAAACAGAGAGTTAGAAATGAAATTGGGCGATACTGAAGCTCAATTGTTGAATTTGAGATTCGAAAACCAGCAGATGAAAATGAGACTTAAAAACCTAAACGGGTTTGGAAACTAACCTCATTGAATTAATTTCATTCCGAAAACTATATGTCAAACTATATGATGCAGTTTATGATGATTTTTTTGGTGCTGAACTCTTTTTAAAGGCCAAATATTGCCTATTTTTGACGAATTTATCTATTTTGGAAAATACTATTTTGTAATATCTATCTTTGTTCATCATAATCCATGTCTAGCTCTACTATCTACAAAATTTAGCTTCAAATTTATGTACATTTGATATTTAAATTAGAATGAATACCCCATATATGGTTTATTTCTGAATTTCGTTACCTTGTGTTGCCATATAGTTTCAATTTGTTTAGATGGTAAATGTTACCTTCTTTGTTTATTTACAATTCAGCTGTTGAGACTAACAAAGTTACTCACGAAACTATTGGCAATAAAAACTACTGTTTCTCCAAAATGAAGTAAACAGTTTATAATGATAGAACATTCTGGTGCTATTTATTTTGATGCGTGAAATGTCACCTGAAATCTATACAAATTCTCATTTCGTTTGATTTTTATTGAATCAAGATTTTTGTTCATAACCTTTAGTTTGCTTTCATAACTGTACACTTCCTGTCAATCAAAACAACATTAAAAGTTGATTATTTGTGCGACCATGAGTTCAAATGGAGCTTCCTTACAATTTATGGTGACTGACTGCGCATTTTCAAGTGTTTTTTTTATCAATTCAAATCTAGCTGTCAACTTTTTGTTTAAATTACTGAATGCCTAAAATTGTGTAGCAATAATTTGTTACGATTTGTTTCTAATTTGTGGTTTTTGTTTCTGTATTTAATCGGATATTTTGTTCATGCGCGAGCTGTGTACTGTTAAAATTATCCTTGCATTTTCAACATATCTGCGGTGTTTCCTCATGTGCTGTATCGTATGATAATCAAATAGATGACTTATAGTTTTGTAACAAAAAGTTAAATCTAGTCTAGCACAATATATAATTTACCTTGAATCATCTATATTTTTGTTTCGACCACAAAGTGGGGAATAACTGGACCAAATGAACAATCTGCCCCTAAATCAATTTAGGAAGGAGATTATTCACTTGGTTAAAATTAATGTTTTTCAGCCAATCAGATTTAAACATAGAACATCCAAGCCTTACTGCTTGAATTTGCTTGGGAGAGATTTCTCCTTTAGTCTATTCATTCAGGGGGAGATTTTTCACTTGGGCCGAATAACTGTCTTAAAGTGTGTTTTAATTTTGCAATGCAAAATCTGGCACTGAAAATCATCATCTGAATGGGTCGAGAGGTAAATCATAGTAAAGCCCTTTCGGTTGTGCGTCTCAATGTCGAGAAAAACCGGTTTGAGTTTTTTGTTTTGTAGTATAATTTTAAGCGATCAAAGCGAGCGATTAGGTGTTATAGCAGGAAGATCTTTTAACTTATTTTAACTTCAGAAAGACATTTTTGTAGCTTCCTTTAGCGCTTCCTTAGCAATAAAAAGTTTTTTACGCAACTAAAGCTTGTGTTATAGTATGAACTCTCTTTTTTCCAACCTAAGTCGCAAATATTGTTGCGACAAAATGTGCTCTTTTTGAAAGTGTTCATTTTGATCAATGACCAGCTATTAAGTAAAGCCAATGCTAAGGATATTAACACAGACTATTATAATACAAATTGCACTTTAGCTTCAAGGTATCATGGATATGTAGCGTAGAGGTAGGGAAGGAGACCCGCATCAAATTAAAAGGGTTCGAACCAGGGCAGGGCCAGATGTTTTAAATGAACTTTTTCGTTGCTAGCTAAAATGCGTCCGCTGTATTAATTAAAGCATATTAGTTGGTAAACTAATTTTTTTTCAAAGTGACTGGTACTGCTAATGGGTCATAATTGGCTTGCGTCACTTAGCAATTATTTAGACTCATAACTGGCGTGCGTCACTGAGGAAATTTTCTAGACTCAATGTTTTACTCATTCAGTTTTTCCAGTAGGCATTGTCGGTCATAGTTTTGCTTGTGTATGCAAAGTGCAACTTCGCCTCTGTATGAAAATTTCAAAAACATTTTTCTTCCGATTTGTTGGTCTGGTTTTTCAGATTTGAAGACAGCTGTAAAAGATAATGAGTAATTTACAAGCTTTGGAAACTTTTTTTTTGTCTCTCGTCCTAGCACGCACAAAAACAGTGCAAATTTTTAAAAAAAGGTTTCAAGTTTTTTTTATAATTATGGTGGGAGTTTTCTGTGCTACTAAAAAATTCTTAAGGATCGAGCGCTTAATTTTGTCAAAAAATAATTATAATTATCCCTCAGTCAGTTTTTGAGCAACTCGGTCTTTTGGTTTTCTTGTGCATGCGAAATGGAGATTGGAATTACTTAATCAATAAAATAAAATATCTATTCATACCATAGCTCCATCCTGCACTTTGGTTGTAACTGTTGATATGTAATTGTTATGTAGTTCTGTTGTAATTTCGGCTTAAAGATATGTCGCTTTGTTGAACATCAGCCGGACTTGAATAAAATTTTATAACATATGAAATAACAATAAATGTTTACCGTTCTGAGCTTTATTTGAGATAACAAAAACCGTGCAAAAATGTTTGAACCAATGCCATATTCTTTTTCCGCACTTTGGTAAGGACCTGAATAGTAGTCTCAAAATTCTCTATGTATCAACAATAAAAATTCTACACAACAAATTTTCAATCAGAACAGCTAATTTAAAATATGGAAGATGAGCGTCATCAGTCAGTTGGAAAATAACTTGATACATTCGAGAATTACAAGTAAAATGTTATTTGAAATACCAGTTTACAAATTTTTTCAGTTTCCACAACGCTTACAAATTTTTAAAACATAATCTGTTACACCCACGAAAGCAAGATTAAAAATTTCAGCCCTTGTGAACATCGTGTAATCCATGGCCATGGCAATGATAGCGGGTGAGGATGCGCTCTCACTCGACCTCTAGCTTCAAGTGTACAAGTGACCGATTACGGCTGCAATATGGGTACCACTTGAAATATCCAGACTAAAAAACCGGTGAGGTGCAAAAAAGAGCTTCATTCAAGAAAAGAACTCAGTCTGGAACCTGAGGAAATATGAGAAACGGACAATGCTTAGACAGCCTAATTTTTTTTTCAAAGATCCTCTGCGCATCGCAGAAACCACAATTAAAAATAATTTAATAATTAGACAAGACAGGAACAATTGTTTCAATAAAACTCATGAGATCAATCGGCTATTTAAGCTGCCAAATTTATACAATTTAATTATTTTCTGCCATATTCACAAAATTACGTTTTTGGCTTATAATTTTGTGCAAAAATGTAAAAATTACTTTACCTCGCTAATCTCATCAAATGCAGTTTATCTGCGTGGTAACTGCTAGTTAGACTCTGGGTTATCTTATGACAGAAAGTTCTTGGTTAGTGTGTTTCGGAAAAAAAACAAAAAACTGAAAAATTTTTCCTTGTTTTTTCATATATGGAAAAGTGCGCATCATACAAACTTTTTGTATGGAAAAAATGCTTGTCACACAATTTCATCGTATAAAAAATGCTTTTAATACTATCATAAAATCTTGAAAAAGTATGGCAAAAGGCTTGCTATTTAATTCCAAAATATTTAATGGCAAAAATCTTGCTATTTAATGGCAAAAAAAATCTTGCTATTTAATGGCAAAAAATGCGTATTATAAAGTTTTTTAGTATGAAGAAAGTGCTTGTCATGCTAATTTATAACTAATTTGTAATAACTATTATGAAATTTTATGATAAGTTTTTTTTTCATAGTATGAAATAGTGAGATAGGCACTTTTGTCAACCCGAGTAATTGGTTTTATCAATTCCATCCACTCAAATTGTAACACTTAAAATTTATTATGATCAGCCTAAAATTCATAGTTTTGCCCTGATACAAGTTGTCTTGTTTTTCCCTGCAACATCGCGCTCATAGGCGACCACTTTTGAACCAATACCAGTTTTTTTGCTTTAAATTTTTTTGTCTTCACGTGCACTTTATCCAGTACACCTTATTTTTCGCGCAACATTGTCCTAATTTGGTCAAAAAAAACATATGAAATTTGAAATAAAACTGCAATATCTCTGAATCAGCGCTAAAAAAATCCCAGCACTGAATTAGACTGGGATTTTTGGAATTAGACTGTGATCATCTCTGAGACAGCACTAAGTTTCGGAGTTAGCGCTCACCTATCTCTTAATCAGAGCTGATTTTTGGAATAGGTTTGGTCACTCAGAAAAATCCATGATTCAGTGCTGCGCTCTAATTAAATTATTCATCGCTGTTTTGGTACTTGATCAGTGGCCACTTACCCATGATCAGTACAATTGCAGCATTGACTCATGGTATATTGCGGAATCAGGGATGACTATCCCTGGAAGGTTGACTCGGGCTTCGTATTGGGCCTCAATTTGACTATGGTTCAGAGCCATATCCATAGTGCAGTACTCTTTTTTGAACTAACTCTGACATCCGTTTGCTCTGCAAAAGCTCCTTTTTGCCCATCGAGTTAGACTTGAGCCAAAACAATCACGTCACTAACCTGGTCATCAAACCGTCTTTGTAGTTTGTCGTAGAATTCTTTAGATGTCGAACAATTATCTTTGAAACAAATGCTTTTTGTCTCATCCAGCAATTTCCTATTGATTTGGGTTGATTTTGGACCATATCATGCAACCACATTACACAATTTAGCGATTACATGACAATTCATCACTATCATTAAACTTCTCTATTTCCACCTTGGCAACGACCCAGCCAAGGTTTATCAAACTTTGAATTTCAGTTATTCTTGCACTAGTTTCACCTTAGCATTGGCTTCCTATCTAAATTTGTTTTTAGACTTATGACGTTTCGTTTTCGATACCTGTTTTGGTTCTACCGTTCTCCCTGTTTCAGAATATTTTCTTTTTACAGCATTCTGTCTCGATTTTGCGGAAAATTTTCATCTTTTTCCAGTCAGCGAATGTCTATCGTTGCGTTTACAGACGTGCCATGTCACTCACTGAGCCTGTCGTGTCTCAGGGAACAACATCATGTTCACGCTCACGGTTACTATAAATAAGCGTTTTAAAAGTTTTCTTAATGCTTAAGATTGTGGTTAATCTTAAAAACTATTTGAGCGCATCAAGGTTATGTTCTAATTCTTGGAAACTCCATAGAACCTTCTGTTGAATATATCACTAAGCTTAAGTCGTTCCAGCTGTTTCTCAGCAATCAAATTGGAATTAGTTGTGCCGTCAGTCTCGATATCCGTTTCATTGTCGCTGCTGACGCATTCTCCTCTGGGATTAGACCCCCTGCGACCAAACGGTCCAACCTTTGTACTATTTTGAGATATAAATTTTTGGTGAGGTACCCTAACTTTTTTTCTAAATGCACCTTGGGCGCCAATAAATACTAATTTTTCAGGGGGGAGCGCGCGCCGAGAAAAAACGCACTTTTTTGGTCAACATTTTCTAAAAAGTTCCTAAAAATGCCTTTTTTGGTCTGTTTTTTTTTCAAAACTTTTCTTTTGACCGAAACAGGGTTTTTTTAATGCTTCGGGAGAGCTTGGAAAATTAATTTGATCTGCCTATAAAAAAGTCGCCAAAGTTTTCGAAAAATTTTGAAGATCCCACCCCCATTGAGAAAATCCTAGATCTGACCCTGATTATGTGACAATGATTATGAAAACCATGCAAGATTTTTTCTAATGACATAAACTTTGGCTATTTTAAATACTCTGCGCATTTTCGGCTGGCTTATTTTTCAGCTGGTTTGGTGCTAGGTTAATAAGACGACATAAGTTTACGATGACATGATATTAAGACGAAAAGATGAAAGATGAAACGTTTAAAAAAAAACTGTTCGAATTTAAATATTTATTATTTCTCAGAATCACAATTTGTATTAATGCATGTAGCGTTGTCTCAAAGTCCCATCAAAAACGGTAGTCCTCTTAACAGCTATCGTCTCACTTGACGGACTTTGGCTGGTTTATTCACACTCTTTCCAGTAGCTGCAGAGAAAAGACAGAAACAGTAGGAAAAATCCGAAAAAAAAACACTGAAAAAAATTAATTGTGAGACAGTTTATCACTGAATAACTATGATGTATCAAGATGGCTCACGATTTCAAGAGAAAACATTTTACGAGAACTAGAAAAAGCGGTAAACACTTACAAACTACTCAGAAAAAAAGACAACATTGATTCATGAGGATATCGGCTCCTCTTATAAAATAAAAATATGTGCGCGCTCCCTGTAAATCTCAACTTGAACCGTTTTTTTTTGTTTATTTTTAAATATTTTGTTTCAATGGTTGTTTTTATCCTCCGGGAATCATTAACTATGAAATGTCATTTAGTTTTGATTCGGTGTTTTTGTTTTTCATTTTTCCCAATGATTTCTTTTGTAACACATGGTAACGCGGTTTTGTATACAGGCGGCAAACAAAAGTTATGAAAATAGGGATAACTTATTTCAATACCAAAACAGACTCGATTGGAAATTGCTATCAGATTGTCAGTTGCAATTGTTTCACCAAATGTCCAATAATTATTTTAACATTGACCAGATAAATATCCCAATAACTGTTTCGCATTGTCAAAAATTTATTTTAAAATCCGTTGCAATCTTATCTGTTTTTTTCCTCGATTTACTTACATTTTAGTTACTAATTACGTTTTGATATAACTTTTTAATTGTTATTCTTCCAAGCATGTTTCAATTGACGCTTAACATAACTCGAATTTCGGGATTCGAAAACTCCCAAAGCGATGTCTTCATCGAAGTTCAGTTTAGAGGTAAGGCGAGAAAGTTATTTTTGAGTATAATTTTCAAAATATGATTATCTATATTTTTAATAAGTCATTAAAATGTGTATCTTAAACATCTGAGGGTTTGGGTTTCCAGGAGACGTCAAGAAAGAACTGGTCCGACGATACACCGGAAAAGTTCTGGGGGTGAGAATCAAAATCATTTTTTTCATGCTCTCAGAATTGGTTTGTAATATTAGGTTCATGACATATGAATTTCAGGACATACATTGGATCTTGGATCCGGAAGACCTGCTCAAAATAGACGAAATCCTCTACATTTCCTTGAAGAATTCAGGGCACAAGTTAGTTATCGAAGCATCGCAGCACTGAAGATGAAATCTATGCGTTGTAATATGAGCTATGATAGTCATTTCAATAACGCAATTCATTGTTAATAAACCGCACACTTTGGAAAGTTTTCACGGTCAGGTCCTTGTCTTCGAGCACAAAAAATGATTGCCTAAAAATTTTGGCTCAAATAAACTGATTAGATTTGAAATCATAAATAACTGGTTGTTTAGTCTGTTGTTGCCTTAACTGTTGTTGCCTTTCATCAGTTTTCCGGTTTTTTTTGCAGACATCTGGCCGAGTTCAATCTGGTGCTTCAGCAGGTGGCCAGAGAAGGACAGGTGTTGGTGGATGACTCATTCTGTGACCCCATCAACATGACCTTGCTTAAACATGTACGTTAAATAGGAAAAAGTAGCTGTCTAAATCAAGAATTTTGAGTTTTGAGATGTTAGGCTAGTCTCTCGAAAAATGAAACTAAAAGTTTTCAAGCGGAGGGCACAATTACTCGAGCAGTGCGACAATTAATGGCATGTCACTATTTTTGGCATTTAGAAAAACAGATATGATCGGGAGGCTGTTGTTAACCCTAATCATGCAGCAAAACGTCACTGTACTGATTTAATCCCACGTACAAAATGAACAAAACAGAAATTTGATTCAGACATTTTTGTCAAATCGTTCATTTTACACCACACAGATGTAAAAATTGGATACTTTTTGAAAGTTATGGCATCAAAAGTTTTGTAATCTGGTGAAACTACCACACTGGTATAAAAATTTTACACTTTTTGAGAATCATGGCATCAAAAGTTTTGTAATCCGGCGAAACTACATCACAATATAAAAACTGTACACTTTTTGAGAATCATGGCATCAAAAGTTTTGTAATCCGGCGAAACTACAACACAATATAAAAACTGTACACTTTTTGAGAATCATGGCATCAAAAGTTTTGTAATCCGGCGAAACTACAACACAATATAAAAACTGTACACTTTTTGAGAATCATGGCATCAAAAGTTTTGTAATCCGGCGAAACTACAACACAATAAAAAAACTGTACACTTTTTGAGAATCATGGCATCAAAAGTTTTGTAATCCGGTGAAACTACCACACAGATATAAAAATTGTACACTTTTTGAGAATCATGGCATCAAAAGTTTTGTAATCGGGTGAAACTACCACACAGATATAAAAATTGTACACTTTTTGAGAATCATGGCATCAAAAGTTTTGTAATCCGGCGAAACTACAACACAATATAAAAACTGTACACTTTTTGAGAATCATGGCATCAAAAGTTTTGTAATCCGGCGAAACTACAACACAATATAAAAACTGTACACTTTTTGAGAATCATGGCATCAAAAGTTTTGTAATCCGGCGAAACTACAACACAATATAAAAACTGTACACTTTTTGAGAATCATGGCATCAAAAGTTTTGTAATCCGGCGAAACTACAACACAATATAAAAACTGTACACTTTTTGAGAATCATGGCATCAAAAGTTTTGTAATCCGGCGAAACTACAACACAATATAAAAATTGTACACTTTTTGAGAATCATGGCATCAAAAGTTTTGTCATCGGGTGAAACTAGCTACATGAACACCGCTTTTCTAACTGTCTTGTGCCTTACCAGTAATATCTATTTATACAATAAGACAAGGATAGGCAGAGGCTGTGCAAATAGCACAGAATGTTCCAACCATAGTCTTTAAAAAACTTGTTTTTTCAAATTAGTTTAGTTTTTTTTTCTGCGTGGTGTGATAAATGGAACTGAACGAAAAACTAGAACTGAGGAATATTCGACATTCACAAATTGGACAACAGTTTATGAAGAAAAAAAAACACAAAAAGTCATTAAATAATTCAAAAAATTTTCATTTTTTTTTGCAGAACTTTTTCGAGTTTTTGATTCCCAAAATAGCGCTAAAAACTGATTTTTCTCGAGTGAAATTAATTTTGCACGGCTTAAATTAAGCAAAAACAAGCTTTTATAAGCCTGCTTGATCGCTTCATTCGCTCAAACTTAGACGACGAATCAAAAAATTGAAAACAGTTTTTCTCGATACTGGGACAACTTTTTGAAAATTTTAAACTTTTGAGTTCGAATTACGACTGAAAAAGTTTCATTATGATATATCACTCCAACTATTCCGATTATCATTTTTGGTACTTGATTTTGAGAGGAAAACAAAAAATAAAATAAAAAGTACCCCCCCCATTTTCAATGTCGAAGCAAAAAGATACAAATTTATCAAGTATATTAAAAGCTTTTTATTTTATTTTAAGCATCTTGCAGAACAAAGAGTTAAAAAAGTTCAACTGAATTTTATGCAATAAATCTTCTGACCATATGTGAAAACTCCTCGTTGTTTCAGACTCGTCTCTTAGCAGAAGTCACTTATTTCAACCTACTCGAAAAAGCAGACATGACCGAACAGTGGGTGCGTGGGGTGGCAGTAGACAAGGAGAACATTCTGCTAAATGACGACAAACCAAATAGATCTGCCACACTGGATGGCAGTGAAGTGTATGGAAATAGTCGACTCGGGGTCGAAGGCTCAACCAGCATAAAAAGGGATCAGGGCGGATGGATTGCTCATGAGTCCGACAGTCAGTCGGCGGTTGGCGAACAGAAAAAGAAAAAGTTGGTTATTTTGTCAACTTGGCAAGTCATCCATTACGTAGATTTAGTCTAATTGAGACCTTCAGTAGATATTTTGTCTTTGCAAAACGGAGGCGGGGGACGCTTCATCTTAGGGATTCGACCCCCTCGCCAACCAAAGAGTCCCATAATTGGTGTTATTGGATCTATTTAACAATTGCCCCCCTTCAGAAAGAGGATTCAATTGTTAAGTAGATTAAAATAACCCATTTTTGACCAATCAGATTGCAGCAAAAAACTCGAATTTTAAATAAAAAGCTCTGGTGCTAATTACTGCTTTTATTAATAGGGGTGGCAATTCTTAAGTAGATACCACAGGGCGGGCGATTGTTAAGTAGATCTGCATTATTTTATAGAATCCATTGTAGACCTACCAAACCCAAAATTTTTTTAAAATCAAAATAGGATCTTTATAGTGATCTAAGAGTGCTCGGTGAACTAATTTGGTCGACTTAAAAAACAAGCAAAAATGTGAAAATCTTGCAATAATTTTCCTAGATATTTTGAGAAACTCCTAGATCCCTCAAGAAAACCCTAGATCAGCCGCTGGTCATGGGACAAAGTTCAAATTAATTGATTCAAAGAGCAAATGAACAATTTTTCATCACGTTTTGTAGTTTTCTCTGCAGCTATTTGATACTTAGGGTTAAATTTTTGACAGATGTTAGATGAAACTAGACATTATTTGTAAGAACTTATCCATTTGGAAAGACTTAGCCGGGCCAAACTTTGAGAAACTATGTTTCAAATGTGCAAAAAAGTCAGTATAGCATAAGTATTTTAGAGGCGATCTTTCTCTGGAAATATTCTTGCAAACAATGTGGAGATTTTGAAATTATAGGCTCAAAATTAACTTGAATATTTGGTAAGATCATGAGCTTTATTACTTTTTATGTTGCAAAAAACAATAAACAAAAAAATTGAAAGAGTTAATTGTTCTGGCGTTGAAACAGTCATTCCTGTTTTGATATAGCAGACACTGGACAAAAATTAGAGAAAAAATAACTGCTAATGACAATCTTGTGCATAGATCGCAGCAGCAGTTTTTTCAAAAAACTTTGCTGTAATAGTTTATATGCTGGTTTATTTCAATCATGAGTGCAAAATTATTCTTGAACATTTAGCTTTTTTCAATGTCGGACCAAATAACTCAATCGAATCTTTTGTCTGTTGTTTTTCGGCGGCATAAAGAGTAAGTCAAGCGCATCAGCTTTTCAAATAACCATTTTGAGCTCATTAAGTAAAAAAAAACTTTACATTGCTTGCGAGGATGTTTCCACACCAAGAATACCTCTAAAAAAGTTGAAAATAAAACGACAAAAAGGTAAAAAAAAATCTTTCATTTGCTCGTTGAAATCAAGTAGTTGCAATGTCTTTATCCCGTGACTGTATATTCAAGATAAAAAGCAAGATAGAAATTTAATTTTAAAAAAGAAGTGTGAAAACCAAGACAATTTTTTGATTTTTTCCTAGGAAAAAAGGTGGTGGCAATGTGTTCAAGAAATTCAGCAAAATGGGCAAGAAAGTGAACTCTCGTGGGAGTCAATCTGGCACCTGGGGGGCAATGTCTCTATCTGGGTCAACGAAGAACAAGTTTGAACAGACTATGGCGGAGGAGCAACAGCAGCAGTTGGACTTTTTCGACGATTCCCTTCTGAAACCTATCAGGTATATATACAACACTTGATTAGGTTCTTGTTTAGATTCTTGCGAGATAATTAAGCTATTTTTTTAATGAGCTATTTTTTTAATTAAATTTTTCAATTTAAGCATCAGCTTTCAAGATCTGGCATATTAATCCTCTTTTGCAAGAATGTTACAAGATCTTGCAAGAAAAGTATCGGATATCGATTAGGGTAGGCTTGAGGCAGATGTAAATTTTTAGGTGCGCGTATGGTTTGAAAAGGAATTGGTCTTCAAAGAATTTTCGAATTCGTTTGCCGACTATTTTTGGACTGATGTTTTTTGAACTCTGATTGTTTCAATCTCTGGCAATTCTGGCAATTCTGGCAAGATAATTTCGGTCTGGCCAAATTTTTAGTTTTTTTTAAATAATTGACCAAAACTGTAATGGAACAGTAATCAAGGGATCGAACTTCTGTGAAGAAATAGTTTGAACCCTGTCTCCGCCCCCCCCCTCCCCCCTTTTACTTCGATTCCCCATTCGCAGTTCTGCAGTTTCGGAGATTGCGACTTGTTCTGACAGCATCTGATTTGTTTCAGTGTCTCCTCCAAAGTTCCAGAAGAAGTTGACTTGTTGAATGTCGTGGGCAGTGCAGGCGAAGGCCAGTTCAAAGAGAGTGGGTTCCAGGTGAATGTGCACGTGATCGAGGCCCAGAGACTGGCGGGAGCGGAGTTGCACCCCTATGTTATAGTGCAGGTGGCGGATGAGAAGAAGACTACCAAGGTGATCGAGGAGACAGTCGCCTGCCCATATTTTGATGAGGTCAAATGCTTGTTCCCTTCTAAAGTTCCTTTTGTTTTCATGCAAAAAGTCTGCCAATTTTACAGAAAAAAAAAACGGATAAATTGTACCGATGATTTAAATCTATATCGATTCGATTTTATTTCAGGCATTTGTGTTTGACTTTGTGATGCCGCCGGTTGAGATGCTGAACTCCATCATAAAACTAACGGTACACAATCATACAATTTTACATTGGACTATCAGTTAAATTACGTTCAACGCATAGATGGCGTCTAATCACACATTTTTCGGAAGTGATTTGTTCGTTTGACGGTCACACACGTCTCCTTTTTGTCCAGCTGATATTCCCTTAGATGCGATATCAACGTCTGATTTTTTGCTGTTTGAGCAGGTATTGAACAAGGGAGGTATTTTTTCCAAAGACGAAAACATAGGCGAGTTCAAGATAGATGTCGGCACAGTCTACGCGCAACCAGGCCATTGTTTTGCCTCCCGATGGGCAATCCTGTTCGACCCAGATGATGTCGCCAACGGGACTTCAGGGGCACTCAAGGTCACTCTAAGTGCAATCGGGAAGGGTGATGCAATCAAACCCCCCTCGGACCCAGAGGGAGATGATGAGGTCATCGAGGGGTATGTATGGCGAACTTTCTCAACCGAAGTTATAGATACAGATTTAGTTATTAAGTGTTTTGAATAATTTTTTGATATAAATTCATGTTAAACACTTAAATTTAAAATGTATTTGCAACAAAAACTCCAAATAAGGCCTGGAATTCCCAAGAGGCGCGGCCATATTTTTGATTCAATTATACGTTTTTAGAGACCAATCACAAAAGTGAAATGAGTAAGCGATCAAATCAGTTGGCATGCTTGCTTTCCAGTCATGCAGCAATTTTTGACAATATAAAATTAATGTTGTGCAATTTACAGGAACGAATTGTTGCCCCAGGGATTCCCAGTGGAGAGACAATTGGCCCACTATAAAGTGAAAGTGTACAAGGGAGTGGGGCTGCCTCGAATGTCATCGGGCCTCATGGGCCAGTTCAAAAAGGCCATAGGTGACATCAAGGACATGGTCGACCCATACGTCGAAGTCACCTTCAGTGGACTGTCGGTACTTAGTCAACCAAGAATATTAAATAGCATTAACCAGCATTCCCGCCCTCTTAACAAATCCAATGCAGTACTTTCATGGCTCAGTCGAGCTTCAAGTTTAAATATTCCAGTCATGATTACGCTGATAAGTTTACTTAGAATAACGACCTTGAAAATAAAACAGACTTTTTTGAACTTGCGGTAGCTGAAAAAAAAAGTTGAGAACTGAAAATAAACTTGAATGTCCCAATCAGTGTGCGTTTGAAGAAAAGTCATCATAACCGTACGACTTCTCAACACCCTTTTTTATTGGATTTTTCCTATCATAAAAACACGTTCTTCAATTACTGAAAATATTTTCTAAACTTGAAAAGCTGGATTCGATACTGTTAAATTCCCAATTCAAAGATCAACTCAGTTGTATAAGAGATCATAAAGATCGTGTTTTTGAGGCCAATCAAAGGTGGCAGACACTCTGAAGGCCAGTACCTGTCAACTATGTCTAGCACCAACAATGACACAGAATGATTGACAGATGAATAATAGACTTGAACCAAATTGGGCTTGAGTGCACTAATGTAACCTCTATGACAAAACACAAAACTGTTTCTAGGCGCGTACGGCAGTGCAGCTGAACTGCTATCAGCCAGAGTGGATGGAGGAGATTGTGTTCAGTGAGATGTTCCCCCCCATGTGCTCCAAAGTGAAGTTAGAGTTGAAGGACAGACACTCTCTCACCTCCCCAAACATTGGCACTTTCGTAATAGACGTCAACGACATCTCCTGCTCACTGGAAGGACAAGGCACGTTTGAATGTTTACCCTTAGACAGTAAACGGCACATGTCAACGATCTCCTCCTTTAATAGCCCCCCCTAAAATTAAATGGCAAAATCAAGCCGTAAGGCCTGCTTGTATTATGCTCAAACCTGATTGGTTGAAAAATATTACGTTTAATCATGTGAACGACTCCTCCCTATATTGATTTAGGGGAGATTGTTCACTTGGTCTGAGAAACCTATTGAAAAACAAGAAATCCATGCCATTGATTTATTATAAAAACAGAATGGAGTGTTAGCAACGTTTGTTTTTATATGGACCATAACTAACAAAATCATTAGTCTCCTAATATTTGTGCAATAATAGGAGAGCAATTTCTGAAAACGATGAAACCTGTAGTATTTGATATCTAGTAGGAAAAAATCCGAAAATTTTTGCCCTTTTTTGCAGGATTCATGCCCACTTTTGGGCCCACATGGGTGAACTTGTATGGGTCCCTGAGGAGCTACAGTTTCAGTGACCTGCACATGGCCTTGAACAGGGGAGTGGGGGAGGGAGTGGCCTACAGGGGTCAGTTGCTGGTGGGGCTGGATGTGAAGTTGGCTGACCCCATGAGGGACACTATGGCAGTGGCAGCACTCGAGGAACACAACCCTCTTCAGCCTCTAAACATTGTGAGATACAGTTGGGGGATAGCGTTTTTTATTCGCACCAGATGTGTCGTTCCGACCATTGAAAATGGGAAGGAACTGATTTGTCTTATGTTCCAGTTTTTTCTTTTTCTTTTGCTTTCCACGCAAAATCAGGTGCCACAAATAATCATCGTTGAAATTTTTTGATTTTTGGTCTAATTTCGAGCAAATAAGGTGAGCGAGCAGGCTTGAGTTATCTTATTTATGCTTAATTTAGGCCGTGAAAGCTTAGTTTTACTCAAGTAAATTTAGTTTTTGGAGTTTGCTTGCGCCATTTTGGGACTCAAAAACTTTCAAAAAAAATTTCATAAGATTTTTTTTTGTTTTTCTATTCATTTTTCTACAAAACTGTTTTCTAATTTGTCTACTTTATTATGACTGTCGACTATGCTTAAAATCTAGAAAAACCTTTTTTTTAAGACTATAGTCGGAACATTCTGTTCTGATTGCACAGTAACAGGCTATCCTTGTATCGTTTTTAACTTTCCGTTTGTGAAATATTGACTGTGAGTTTTGTTTTTTAATACTTATTGTTAAATTATTGGCCAGAGGCAGAGGCGGATTTAGGGGGGGGGGGGGGCGGACGCCTTTTTTCCTCAGGGATTCGACCCCCTGCCAACCCAAAGGGTCCCCCCTTTGGTACTTTTAAGAATTCCAGTTTGGGCCGACCAACCCTAAAATTTTTCTAAAGGCGCCTTTGGCGCCAATATATACTAATTTTGAAGGGGGAGCGCGCGCCGAAAAAACGCGATTTTTTTTGGTCAAAGTTGTCCAAAAAGTGCCTAAAAATGCCTTTTTTGGACTGTTTTTCAAAATTTTGCCTGCGGCGCAGAAAATTTGGCCAAAACAGCGACTAAACCAGCTTAGGGAGAGCTCGAAAAATCAATTCGGTCGACCTAAAAAAATTTAAAAAAAGGTCGACAAAATTTTTGAAAATTTTTTGAAAATCCGCCCCCCCCCTCGAGAAAATCCTAGATCCGCCCCTGGCCAGAGCCATAGATAAATGAGCTATTAATTGGAAAAAAAATGGGTAAGAATTATATATAAAAAACTGAGCAGTTGCGAAGTGTAATGGTTTGCTAGGCATCTTGAAAAATATTTTGAAATCTAGTAATAAAAAATATTTCGAAATCTTCGAAGTTCTCTGTAAAAATCACCCGATGGTATCTAGTTATGTCCAGCTAATAAAGGATGGCCTCTAACAGTAACTCGTTGAAAATGTCCACTTATTCAACTGTTGAGCATATGCGAATACTGTATCTAGTAAGGAGACAGCTGAGTTGTGAGCTAGTTAAAAGATCCTTCTAGGATCATCCGTATTTCAAATCAGGTAGTCATTATCTAAATCCTTAATTTAAATCAGGTATTCATTATATTTGTTAGGCTGCCTGTAATTCTCGCAGAGAAGAAACTGGCATTTTGTTTTTAAAGCTAACAATTTTGTTTTCTGCGATTCGCAGAAGAGGAGCTATCAAAGGCTGTTTCACTTGTAAAGGATCATAGTTTTGTCTCATTTTCCTTCATTCCAGGACGAAGTATTATGTTGAGCAAAGCTCTTTTTTGCGATTGGTGTATATTTTTTTCTGCATCTACAGCTTTCACTTAGTGCTACTATGGCTCCCAGGCATTTCAACCCCAAAAGCAGTCAGTTCCGGAAATGACTGGGTTTTGAGGCGGAAGTGTCTGGGCGGAAATGTCTGATCACGACTGCCATAGCAGTCAAAGTTGGTCAGGTTGATTGTTTGACCAGCCAGATTTGTTCATGAGCTTTTGGCATCTGTTCAGATGTACAGTGGTAAGAAGGAGGAGTTCTTCCTGTTCTGCTGTGTGATGGAGGCATCTATGGTGGAGAGAACTCACTGTCAGAAGCCACTCTACTTCGAAATCAGCATAGGTACAGTCTATGCTACAATCACATGTAATTTATGCAAGAAATTGCCCACATAATCGTTGAAACATGTTGTAGTAATGACCTTGAGTAATAGTCATTGAATGTCAATGTTGGGTTGCTTTTTAGACTGTGTCAGCTTTCAATTGTCAAAAACTTCATATGTTATATTTTAACACTTTTGGTCGGTATCAGTCTAAATTAGCGTGTTGGAACACTTACAGATACAATAATCTATTCAAGTTCTAGAAAAAAAGATGATTTGAAAGCATAATAGAAAAAAACACCTTGTGATAAACAATAAAAACACCTAGATTCAATCATAATTCAATTGGTGATTTTCATCGTGTTTCATTTTTTATGCGAAGTCGCTTAAGATCCGGGTCGGATCTAGGATTTTGGGTTTTGTCGAGGGGGTGCTGATTTTCAAAAGTTTTTGAACACTTTGTCGACCTTTTTTTTAGGCCGACCAAATTGATTTTCTGTTTTTGGGCACTTTTTGTGGAAAACTTTGACCAGAAAACTGCGTTTTTTTGGCGCGCGCTCCACTTCAAAATTAGTATATATTCGCAACAAGTGCGCCGTTAGAAGAAATTTAGGATTGCTTGTCCTAAAATGGATGTTATAAAATATTACCAAGGACCCCCCCCCCCCCCCCCCCCCCCCTGTCACCCCCCTCCACTCCCCTCCCGTAAATCCGCCGCTGCATAAGATTGTGACTTTTTTTGAACCTCGAATACAAAAACGGACATTTTTTTAATAGACTAAATACAAAATTGATTGAGTCATTTTTGACACAGTAATTACGCATTTATGCTGTTTGCGTCTAAAAAATATTAACCCTAAACTTTTTTAGGTAACTACGGCAACAACATAGATGGTCACAACGTCCACTACCGGCCAGAAGATGGCAAGGATACGACCGATACAAACGAGCCATCTAAGACAACTTCTTCTGCTGCGACAAAAAAGGGAGCTGTCGAGGGTGCAGCAGATGAGCCAGCAGAAGAAGACGAAGACGAGGACGAGGAGGAAGTAATTGACAACCCCTACTCCGAGTCTAAGATTTTCCTGCCTACACCTATGGTACGTCAACCAATTAAACTATCCCTTTATTTGGAGCGAAAATTATGGGTTATTTAAGACTCTTTAGAATGCTGATTTTTAAGTCTTATATTGTCTTTTTGTTTTGAAAAAGTCAAATTATTAGTTGATGTAGATTAGTCATCAAAATTATTAGTCATCAATTTCCATCAGTTTTATTCACGCCACCGTGATGCTCAAAAACTGATATTCTCGGTAGCCTTTGAGCCTATGCTTATCATTTATTAAATGTTCAGCTATGCTTTCAACAAAAACTGATTTTTCCTGAAACCCAAAATTAAAACGTGGATCGCTGTTTTTTAAAAGTACTTTTTCTAAAAGCGTCGTGGTTAGTTAATAATATTTATTCACACTTCCAGGAGGGTCAGGACGAGTACTACTATTTGGAGATCGCATCCCAGAAGCCCTGCATGTTCCTCAGAGCACAGCTGAGAGACTTCAAAGAGAGACACTTCCGACAGAACATTCTAGAAAAACTCATCACCGATATCGTAAGAAACAATTTATAACAAAGATTGTTATTTTTTTTGAATCGATATCGCTTTTTTGTACTATTTTAAAAAAAGGCTCAACAAAATTTTGATTTCTGTGTCATTTTTAGCATCACATGAAGGATGCGATTGTGCTTTTAAAAAAATAGTCTGTCTTCGGAAAAATCAAAATTTCAAACTTAAGTGTTTTTTTTTGTGTTTGTTTAGTTGGATAAGCTGCGAAATCTGAGTGAGAGGCTGCAGGGAGAGAATGTTCCGAATGGCACTGTAGAGTCACTCAAGTTCATCATCGGAAGATTCTTCTCGCATGCCAAGTAAGAAGCGATTTAGAACAATTGTGTGTCTAATTATTTATATATTTTAGCCCGGGTTGACAAAAACTCTAATTTAATCTATTTAACTTTTAATCCTCTCTTGAAATGCCTGGTTTCGCGATTTAAAAAAAATTTGATTCCTATCAATTTTGATTTTTTTAAATAAAATATGCTAGTCACAAAATTTTCATAGTAAGAAATTGTATGACTAGCAATTTTTAACAAGGTTTTGAGGTTAATGGGCAAAAACTGTGGTCTTTTTACGCAAGCGGCCCAACAAGTTTTCTGTTCTTACAACAGGCGCGGAACTAGGGTTTTCTCGTGATCAAAACATTCTCAAAGTTTTTGTCGGACTTTTAGGAACTTTTTGGTTTTTGGGTCTACGTTTTAAGCCACTTTTTGGAAATTTTTGACCAAAAATATTGCGTTGTTTTGGAAAGTTTTGACCAAATTGAGCTCTACGTTTTTAGCCAATTTATGGAAAATTTTGACCACAAAAAATTGCAAAGGCGCCTTTAGAAAAGTTTAAGGGTAAAGTCAGCTAAAAAAGGATGTCTAACAATAGTAATTTTGGGTGAACCCCTGAGAGAACTAACATGGCTTCTCTGTGAAAATAATGTTGGTTTAAGGGACTACGTGAACCAAACTCTTCATCAGTTGAACAGTACCAAAATAGCCGGCAAGACTAAGCTGGACTCAGAGAAAGTCAAATACGCTCACCGTGAATTGGTAAGTCAACTTTTACTTATAATCTAAATCTGAAAGCTGCTACCAATTTAACCAAGCGGTTTATGGGGGAGGATGTTAACTTTGTTTTAAGTGGGACTTTTCACCCACTCAGAATCGAGCATTAACATATTACTGGCAGCCAAATATAACCCGAATTAAATGCGTAAAAACTTAGTTTTACTCGAGTATCGTTAGTTTTTTTGAGTACTTTAGCGCCTTTTTGAAAGCAAAATCAAAAATTCAAACACTGCAAAAAAAATTGAAATTTTTTATTGATATTTTTAAAAGTTTTTATTGTTATTTTTATACAAAAATTGTTTTTCAATTCGCTTATTTACTATGACTGCCGAATATGCATAATCTTTAGTTTTTCGTTCAGCTCCTTTTATCACACCACGCCCAAAAAAAACGAGACTAATTTGAAAATTTGTGTTTTTTTAAGACTATGGTCGGAACATTCTGTGCTACTTGCACAGTAACCGGCTATCCTTGTATTAAATTGTCAAACTTTGACAAATCAAAAAATATGTTTAGAGAGTTTTTCAGTTTTCGGGTCAAATTATCTTCCTCCCCATTGAATGCTGATAAAAATTTCGGTGAATGAACGGAAAAAATTATTTTCGAAAATGACCTTTTTTAATAGTTTTCTTAAAAATTTTGATAAAAATCGAATCGAAAGCAATATTTGACAAAACCATCTCTATTTCAGGAGCAGGTGAAGCTTGAGTTGAGACGTCTCAAAATCCCAGAGACTAGCGACAGTCCCCAAGTTTACCTGGAGATCATCAGGAACATCCGATCGAACGTGAACCGACTCCGCAAACACCTCAAGGAACCACAACCAGGTATACTCGGCGGCGGCTCTTTTTAGCTATACGGCCCAAAAATCTCAAAATGTTTATTGAGATCTTCCGTTTTAATTGAAAACCCAGACTTGTTTTCGCTAATATCAGTTTCAACTAATTAGTTTCGAGCATTATGATCAAACTTTCAAAATAACATCAGGTTTGTAAAAGATCATGTTTGGGCCGTACTACAGAAAAGACTATACTCGGCTGGCTGTGTTAAAACCAACCCCTCTAATTTTTGACCAGACAGTTATGGAAGGATCAGTAGTTGAAACAAACCTTCTAGATTCTGAGAAATATCAATTGGTAAGAAAAATTTAATTTAGTTTGGTTTTTGTCAAATCAAGAAGCGCTTTTGCTAACTCAAATAAAAAGTTTTCAGTCAAGGTATCAATCTTTCTGAGTCTTCTTCCTCATCATCGGAGTTTTATTCTCTGTTATCTCAACAATTGAGAGTGCACAGTTGAACGAACATTTTGCTGAATGCTCGGAGAGCAGTTGTAGGTCACGAGCCTACGTACACTTCCATACTTCCATTTGACTATCATTCTTCAGTTTGTTGTAACTCGTGTTAAGACGCTCTCACGAATCAAAGTTGAGCACAAAATAAGCGCTTTCTCCGATAATCAAACCAAAGCCGAGTCAGGGGCTTTGGTGTTGAGCAAAAGTCATAACATACTCAAGTTTGATATTTGATAAAGTCATAACATACTCAAGGAATCCAACTCATGACAAAAGTCACAACATACTCAAGTTTGATCGCGTACTGTGAAAAATACTTCAAGCCTTGTTATCAAAATCTCCTTACTCTGCCTATTTTTCTCTTTCAAATATATTTCCTTGACTTCTATACTGGATTTTTGTCAAAATCTGTAGCTTAATACTTATCCACACATATTTTTCATCTTATTGCTTAGGCCACTTCAAGAAGCGAAGGGAAGGAACTATGGCATAGGGTGTCTTTTTCCCTCCCGATCTTAACTGGAAACTCCCAGGGTTCCATGTGTGGTATCATGGTAACGCCGTTAGAGCTGTGATTTGGATTCCAAAATAAAAAATCTGACTGTTGAGAAAAATAGGTCTATATTTTTCTAATTTTCAGACGGAAATTTGATGACACTGCAAATATTTTCGATGAGCCCCAGTTTGTTCCTGAACAATTCTTACAATATTTTAGCAAACGGTGCCTCCGTTATGAGTTTTTTTATCTAATTAGATTGTTCATTTAAAAAAAAATAATTAATCAAGTGCTTAGAAGGAACGGTGAACAAACATCAAACATTTGAAGAAAACCGCGGGTTGACGTCCATAGAAGAAAAATGCTTATCATACAGTTTCATATATGAAGTCTATGGAAAACATGCTTATCATAGAAAATTCATACAAAATTTTAAGTGTTTTAAAAAAATTTTATAAACATTTTTGATCTAATTGCCTCTTTTAAAGCTTTCTGGCCATTACAAAAATGATTTAAAATTTCTGATAAAAAATGCTTGTCATACAGTTTTCATGTATGAAAAATATAAGATAGTCATTTTCTCATAGAAAAAATAAAATTTTCAAAAATCGCCAAAAAACGTGTCTGGGTAACTTTAAATAGATTTAAATAATTATATCTATGATAGAGGGCTTTTTGACAATCAAAAACATAATTTTAAATTCGGTCATATATGAAAATTGTATGATATGCATTTTTTTCTCAAAAAGAAAAACAAAAATTTGAGGTAAAAAATTTTTTATCCCTTTTTTGGTTGCAACTTGCTTTTGTGCTAAAAAATAAATTTTACGAAAAAAAATGTTTACAGGCAAAATTAGACTTTTTGTGTTTATAACGTAGTCTAGGCTGAGTTTTTCACCCAAAAATCCAAAAATCACAAGAAAGTGTTTTTTTTTGTAAACACGATCATTATCTTTTGTTTCATTTGCTAAGATAAAAGTAAATTTGTAAAAAAAACAGGCCTTTTTTTCTCAACCACCAAAATTTTCAACCTAAAAACTATGTAGCCATATTCAAAAAGCTACCTTTCTGGTATATAATTCCATGTGAAAATATTATTATTTACTATTAGCTATTATTTAGCTAAAACCACCAAATTCAGTTTATCTGCGTGATAACTGCTAGTTACACTCTGAGTTTTTTTTTATGACAAAAATCCTTGGTTAGTGTTTCGGTTGAAACACAAAATTTCGAAATTTTTTTTTCATTTATGGAAAAAATGCTTGTCATACAATTTCATAGTATGGACAAAATGCTTATCATACAATTTCATATTATAGAAAAAATGCTTATTTTGTTATTTTCATACACTTACTTTTTCTCTACTACTAAATTGTATGAAAGATTATGATAAGCATTTTTTTTTCATTTATGAAAATTGTATGATAAGCATTATTTGTCAACCCGGGATGTTATTTTTGATTTCCTTAAGTTAAATCATTTCGGAAAATTTTGTGTTTCTTGCACAGCAACCGGCTACTCTTGTTTTTTCAAATCTTGACTGAGTGGGAAGGAACTGAACCCCCTGGTGCGCGTTTTTTACGCACAACCAGGTATCACTAATCAATATCAGAGATAATTATCAATTGACATAATTTCAGTCCCAGTTATCGTCATCATCAAGTGATGCGAATGGTATTAAAAACGCTGGATTTTAGACAAGCCGGCCAAACAAGGAAATTGAAGAGATTAACATATAAGCATTTACACTAGCGATGCGTACTGGTACTGTGATAGATGCAACTTTTGCCCAACTAAAGTAGCAAAAAAATTGCTATTTTAGGTGACCCTTCTTGAATCAAGTTGATGCGTTGGCGCAAAAAGATTGTTCTTTGAAATTTATTAAATTTCTTTGACAGTTTCATGTTTTTTTTAATTGATCAATTGAAACGTGAAGAAGCTATTTGTTTCATTAAAAAGTACAATAATAAAAACTCCTTCTCAACAATTATCCATTTCATTATATTTAGGGAAAGTTTTGAAATACATAATTTTTACAAAAATTTGATTGTCACATTTCAATTTATAGCAAGCGCTTTCCAATGTATCTCCAAACTATGGCTTCATAATAAGTTTGTGTGATTGCCTTTAAATTATTATATTCTAATTTATTACTGCCATTTTTGTGTTTTTGTGCATTTGATAGCTCCCGATTTTTTGTCACTTTCTCGCTTGCGTTTGCAAAGCTGCTGTGTCGCCTTTGTCTAAGTTGTTATTTATCAATTAATGGAGTTTCGTTTTACGCTGTTTTCCCTTTTGGAAAAAAAAACAAAAAAGTATTCAGTAGAAACTTTGATTAAAAATGTATAAAAAAATATGTATGTGGTCGGACTATAGTAAGCCTTTCAAACAGCAGCCGAAAATTTTGATTTTTATCAGGTCATTAATTGTTAGTACTAACAATTTTTCGTTGCAATGAAAGACTCAAGGTTAACCTTGATTACGATCTCTGTTACCGATAGCACACTTAGTTTACCAAGAATGACTTTTCTGTCATCTTAAGGAAAATTTTGACCCCATTTCTTACATAGAAGGCAAAAAGTTTTGAATGAAAAAAATTCAATTATTGTTTTTGGAGCCTCTCAGCGATCTAGTAGTTTTTAAAACAGTTTTAACTGTTAAAAATTTATTTTGAAATGAAATTTCTTTAGGAAATCTGCTTTCAACAAAATATTTGAACAGAAAGCAATCGTTAAGTTTCTAATCGAGATGGTAAGAAATGTTTTTTTTTTGGAAAAAATATTTCAGACTTAAGTATTTTTTGTTCCGACTTTCAAAGAAAGTGGAAGATTGTTTATGCTTGGGGTAGTTTTTAAACAGTCGAATATCGAATTTTTAAATAAACAGTTCGACAAACTTTTGTAACATATGAAAGCTTTAGTTAGCTGATCTCAAATAAAAAAAATTTCGCCTGCGATTTTTTTCTCAAAAGTTATGGGTGTTTGAAAAGTTGCGGGAGAAAAAAGGAAAACAAGCTCGAAGGGGCAGTCGGAACATTTAGAGTTTGCCTTAACAAACGAGCAGTCTTGTTTTGGTTGAATTGGTTGAGATATGTTTCAACTGGTTCAGAAACCAATTTTTGTGGACGCCAACTAATTTGAGCCCAGTGGGTCACATGTCAATCCTCTATCACATTGCTTTTTCACTCGAGACATCCGTGAAATAATTGTTTAGGTCGAGATAAGTCAAGTACACTTTCGTTCGGTCATATAATACCCAATTTTGCTTTATATAATCGATCTTAAAGCATACCCAAATTTTGCCCGTCGAAATATACCCAAACTGTGGCCGAGAAAGACGAAATTAAATTGAGCACACCGTTTTGAAAGATTTTTTTTCACGCTACTTCAGATTTTGGTACTGAATGGTACAGAAACCTGTTTAGTTGTTAGCAAACAAGATGAATTTGTTGAAAAGCGTAGAAAATTTTAGTTAATTTAAACAGAAAATCAAATAGAATCATTCTGAAGCTTTTTAGAAAAAGATGTCACTAACTGCTTGGTTTCAATAGAAACTTAAATATTCACTTTCTAAATTATGTTTGCAGTCCTTGCGGTAATCAACTTAGGTTCCAAAAAACTTAACAGCTCGAATGATCTGTGGCAAAATATTTACTAATTTAGCTGAAAAACAAGCTCTGTAACAGCTTTTGTGTCGCTTGACTTGCTATTAGAATCACATTGCCTTGAAAACAAACAGTCTTTCAAGATATTTTTTAGGAATTTGGATAAATAAAAACATCAACGGCGGGCAGATTGATCTAGAGTTAGTTCAAATTTTGTTGATTTCTTGGCGCAAAATACGAATTGGTATTCAGAACTTGTCGAACTAGTCAATATATCAAATAATTAAAATAAAAAAACATGTGCAATCATCGCTGATTCGGTAATCGCCGTATGACACGGATGGCTTAATTAATTTTTCCAGCTCTTCCAGAGCATCATAAAGAGTCTCTTTTTTGCAAAATTTGCTTCAAGTCGTAAGAATTTTTATTCGACTTCGCTTATCTTTAGGTCTTCCAGATGTGTTTCTGTGGATGGTGAGTGGGGGGAGGAGGGTGGCCTATGCTCGCATGTCTGCGGGGGAGCTACTTCACTCCCCCACCTGTGAAATGGAGAGTGGGAGGAATTGTGCCAAACTGAGAACCATTTTCCTCAAAGTACGATTCCAAAATGGTGGTATATAACGAGCCAAATTATAAACAAGCTACCTTGTAAACCTATCAAAAAACCGAGCACTTAGATAATCATTAGGCTATTACATTTTATTTGAATAATAGTGTTATAACACGGTGGGGGCGGACGTTTTCATCACGGATTCGACCTCCTGACCACCCAAAGTGTCTCCTCTATGGTACTGTTTTAGGACGTCCCTTTTTGGGCTAAACAAACCTAAAATATATCTTAAAACGCCTTCGGCGCCAATATATACTAATTTTAAGGGGGGATAGCGCGCCGAAAAAGCGCGAATTTTTGGTAAACTTTGGCCTCCTGTTTTTTCAAAATTTTGCCTGCAGACCCAGAAAATTAATTTGATTGAGCTAAAAAAAAATGTTGACAAAATTTTCGAAAATCTTTCTAAAGTATTTGTTGTAAAGTGATGTTTATTTATGGTTTTCTAAAATTGGTAACTTTTATTCAGGATAATAAGGTTTTTCTAAATGTTTTCGGTATGGTGTTTCTTATCTATCTTTTCTTGTTCCCTCTGTCCCCATGTCCGGGCAACTAATTGACAAAAAACGTTTATTTGTCTAGATTGGTGTCAATTTATAGCGCTTTTAGTGGGTATATTTTTTCAGAAAAAAAGGCAAAATATCCTGTTGCGAAAAACTATTATATCATTCTCAATACTCCGAAAAGTTTCGACGAACAGTTTTATGTCTTCAGGATGTGGAGGAAAGTCGAGAAAAACTGACAAAATGCCATTTTTTGGAATGATAAAATATGTGAAATCAACATAAAGAAATTGTATGACCAAGCTAGCTCGTGCCTCTTATTTTCCAGTTGCCTGGCAAATTCTCCTCCGGTCAAACTGGGTGGTCTATCCAGGCCAAATTGGAAGTGTACATGTGGCTGAGTCATGCGCGGAACAGGAAGGAGGCGCTGGAAAAACTCCCCTCTGGTTGGGAAGTATCAGATAAAATAGAGGACCCCTTCAAGAACTTCAAGCCAAACAAACACTGGGGTGTTCCACGATCATTGCGATTCAAAGGTTCTTAGTTTCTTTCGCTCTTTCTGCGATCTACATGAAAGACCCTTTGCTAATGAGAATGACCCATACTAGTAACAAAAAAATATATCCCCACCCTCATTTTGTATGATTTTTGTACAATGGGGGCTATAATTTAGAGAGGGTTATATTAAGAGAGATTCATTGTTAATTTAACATTATACTCCAATCAGTTGCGGATTTGGTAGAGGCGAGGGCAGACGCTCCCTTCTTTCAGGGATTCCATGCACCCTTTTGTAATCACCCTTTTATATTATGCTTGGTACCCCTTTTTAAATATCAAACTGAAAAATTTGCAACTTCTTTGCTAACAATATACGCTAAATATGAGAGATTTTTTAAAGTCAAAACCGCTCAAAAAGTATCGAAAATGAAGGTTTCTGCACGTGTTGTCCACAGTTGTACTGTAAAGCAAAAAAAGTGGCAAAATACATTCTTTTCAGTGCCGTGGGAGAACTTAAAGTTTTTCAGAACAAAAAATTTTCAGACTGAATGTGAAAAATCCTAAAACTTTGGTCTCCTTAACATGCAAAACGAAGCTCTGAATTTTTTTTTTCTAAAATTTTCTTAACGATTATTTTTGTTTTTGCAATTTAAATAAAGTTAGCCCTTGGCTGAACAAGTCGCACAAAAATGTTCCGAGAAAGAAGAGCAACTCAAAAACAACTTTCACAAATAAAGACAACTTCTTTTAAAAATTAAAGTTTTTTCTTTTTTTTAAAATGTGCTAAAAATTTTTAGTAGAAAGTGACTGGAATTGGTGAAAAACTGCGTGAATGAACATTTTTAATTGCTAAAATGATGACCAATTTGTGATAGAATTAAATTCAATCTCTCAATTTTAAGGTTTTTCAAATGTTCAGACAAGATTTTCTCGGCACCTTTTTTGATTTTTTAAAGCGTCCATCCGAATCACGATCAAAAAGTTGTTAATACTTACGCAGTCTTAGGGGTAAATACAAGCTTTCAGTGTTCAAAAATTGCATATGCAATAAATTTTCATCTCTCATCAAAATACCGTAGTCGATCAAGAGGGGTTATCTTGCAAGATCTTATAAGTATTTTGAAATATTCTTTTAAAGATGATACCTCTCCGTAAAAGATATTGCAAGATTCTTGCAAGATCATGCAAAGTAATTGCCTTTAAAAATAACTGTTTTGAAAGCAAGATCTTTAAAGAAATGATTTGTTGTGGGAAAAAAATAAAAACAGCTTCACACGCGAAGACGTCCTATGACCTTTGTGTAGGAAGTGTAGTGGTAACAATTAAATACTTAAACAAACCAACAAAAAAGAGGAAGAGAAAAAATATATCCACATATGAGATGAACATGATTGTTTATCGTATTTATGTGAACACAAAATACCCAATTGTTCAAGCCAATTGAGTCTATTAATCAAAAATTTGACGAAAATAACGAAAAATTATTTTTCCAACGATAGAATTGCAAAACTAGAGGAATGATTCCAATCAAATCATTCCAATGTTTTACGAAATCTCACATCAAAATGCATAAATTGTAGCCACAACCTGAAATTTCTTACATTACGAAAGCAGAAACATATAAATGAACAGTTTTAAAAAACGGACTTCTAATTTTTTTATCCGAAGTTTTTTGTGACTAAAATCAAATTGGATCTCCATAGTGTTTTTCTGGCGCTCAGAATAAATTTTGTAAACAAATTTTCATACTAGGTTACCTTGCAATATCTTGCAAGAATCTTGCAAGATTTTTGCAAGATAAACTCACTCTTGCAAGATCTTGCAAGATAATCTCCATCTTGCAAGATCTTACAAGATAAGCCTCAATTGTAAGAATCTTGCAAGATCTAATATAATTTTCTGTGATCGAATAGGGTACTTTCATCAAAAAATTTCAGGAAAGAAAAAATGGAATCAGCATATTTTTTGCCGGGTGATGACTTTCAAAAAGAGAAAATTGAAATAAGCAAATGTTTTTGCCGGGTGATGACTTTCAAAAAGTACACAGTAGAAAAACTTGTGCTCAAAAAACAATCCTATCACCTACTTCCCGGGCCGAGGTGCCAGACTCATGTCCAGACTTTCGCGACAAAATTTTGGCATTTCCAGACCAAAATTAGGCATGTGCAGACTTTGGCGACCATGATGATCCGTCGCGACTATCGCGACCGAAGCTGAGGTGGCGCGACCAAAACGTCGCGACTCATATTTGGTATGTCCAGACTCTCGCGACCAAGAGTCGCCATTTCAAGACTTTCGCGACTGAAAAACCAAGGCGCGGCTTTTTCGACCGAGGCGGATACGGCGCGACCCTGCGGCTCAGGAAACGGCGTGACCGGCGCGACCAAACTTAGCCATTTCCAGAATTTCCAGACCTAGATGGAGACGGCGCCACTTTCCAGACCAACATGGAGACTTTCAAAAAAGTTTTTCAGGGCTTTCGCGACCGAAGTGGAGACGATGCGACTCGGGAAACGGCGCGACTCAAAAAGCAACGGCGCGAACAGCCTGGCCAGTGGGATCAAAAAGTCCCCTTTCAAGATTTTCGCGACCGAGGTGGAGACAGCGCGACTTTCAAGACCGAGGCGGAGACGGCACGACCAAGAATCATTTCATCGCGACCGTAGTGGAAGCGGCGCGACTTTCGCGTTCAGGACTTTCCAGACCAAGGCGGAGACGGAGCGACTTTCCAGACCAAGGCGGAGACGGCGCGACTAAGAAACAATTCTTTACGACCGTGGTGGATACGGCGCGACTTTAGCAATCAGAGATGAGACAGCCCAGACCATGGTGCATGCGGCGCGACTTTCCAGACCGAGGCGGAGATGGCGCAACCAAGAATCAATTCCTCGCGGGAAAGGCGGAAACGACGCAACTTTCCAGACCAAAGCGGAGACGACGCGACTTTACAGACCAAGATGGAGACGGCGCGACTTTCTAGACCAACATGGAGACGGCGCGACTTTCAAAAAGGGTTTTCAGGGCTTTCGCGACCAAGGTGGATACGGCGCTACTCAGGAAACGGCGCGACTCAAAAAGCAACGGCGCGAACAGCCTGGCCAGTGGGATCAAAAAGTCCCCTTTCAAGACTTTCGCGACCAAAGCGGAGACGGAGCGACTTTCCAGACCGAGGCGGAGACGGCGCGACTAAGAAACAATTCTTTACGACCGTGGTGGATACGGCGCGACTTTAGCAATCAGAGATGAGACAGCCCAGAACATGGTGCATGCGGCGCGACATTCCAGACCGAGGCGGAGATGGCGCGACCAAGAATCAATTCTTCGCGGCAAAGGCGGAAACGACGCGACTTTCCAGACCAAGATGGAGACGGCGCGACTTTTTAGACCAACATGGAGACGGCGCGACTTTCAAAAAGGGTTTTCAGGGCTTTCGCGACCAAGGTGGATACGGCGCGACTCAAGAAACGGCGCGACTCAAAAAGCAACGGCGCGACCAGCCTGGCCAGTGGGATCAAAAAGTCCCCTTTCAAGACTTTCGCGACCGAGGTGGAGACAGCGCGACTTTCCAGACCGAGGTGGAGACGGCGCGACCAAGAATCATTTCATCGCGACTGTAGTGGAAGCGGCGCGACTTTCGCGTACAGAGTGGAGACGGCAGGACTTTCCAGACCAAGTCGGAGATGGCGCGACTTTCCAGACCGAGGCGGAGACGGCGCGACTAAGAAACCATTCTTTACGACCGTGGTGGATGCGGCGCGACTTAAGCAATCAGAGATGAGACAGCCCAGACCAGGGTGCATGCGGCGCGACTTTCCAGACCGGGGCGGAGATGGCGCGACCAAGAATCAATTCCTCGTGGCAAAGGCGGAAACAACGCGACTTTTCAGACCAAAGCGGAGACGGCGCGACTTTACAGACCAAGATGGAGACGGCGCGATTTTTTTTTCAGACCAAGGCGGAAACGGCGCGACCAAGAATTTATTACTCCTGACTCAGGTGGATACGGTGCGACTTTTCAAACCAAGGCGGAAAGGGCGCTGCTTTCCAGACCATCGTGGAGACGACGCGACCAAGAATCAATTCCTTGCGACAAAGGCGGAGATGGCGCGACTTTCCAGACCAAGGCAGAGACGGCGCGACTTTTCAAAGCAAGGCGGAGACGGAGCGAATTTTCAGACCGAAGCGGAGACCGCGCAACTAAGAAAGAATTCTTTGCGACCGTGGTGGACGCTGCACGACTTTAGCAATCAGAGTGGAGACCGCCGAGATCACAGTGCATGTGGGGCAACTTTCCAGAACAAGGCGGAGACGGTGCGACTTTCGAGACCAGGGTGGAGACGGCATGACTTTCCAGACCACGGAGGAGACGGCGCGATTTTCCAGACCGAGGCGGAGACGGCGCAACCAAGAACTAATTCTTCCCACCGTGAAGGATGTGGCGCAAATTTAGCGATCAGAGCGTGGAGACGGCCCAAACCAAGGCGAATAGGCGCGACTTTCCAGACCAAGGCGCAGAAGGCGCTATTTTCCAGACCAAGACGGAGACGGCGCGACCAAGAATCAATTCCTCGCGACCGAGTTGGAAACGCCTCACTTTTCATACCAAGGCGGATGCAGCAAAACAAATAACTGTCAAAACTGCGTGGATTTTTTCTTCTGTCCAACGCTTTAGTTTATAATTATTTTTTGTATGGGTTCAATTTATTCAGAATACTTACATATTCTGCGAGGGTTTTTAGGAAAAAAAGGCAAAACAATGCTGAAATCTCGAAAAATCAACTACTTTTATCGTTTTTCTATGATTTTTTTTCGTTCCAGATTTAAATGAAATTGCCAAGTTCTGTTGTTCTGAAAAAAAACTCGATAAATGTCAAATTATTTTGAGAAAAATTGGAATGAAAATTTTCTCAAAATAAATCAAAATCGGTCAACATTTTTTTAGTTTTCAAGTCATTTTTTTCTTTTTTTTATTTCAAAATTTCTTTTATTAACTTCCCAACATCTAGAAGTTGTAAGGCAGTGTTTTATATGTCAAAAAAATGCACTGAGCATGAGCTTTCTATCCATATAAACAGCGTTCTCAATTTTTTCTGAAAATGTAAAAAAAAAAAATGCAATTATTTCAAAGTAACCGCCAAAACGCTGTTTTTTGGATACCCAAAAAAAACGGATAACTGTCGAAACGGTTCTGGTTGATTTTTTTCTTATATAAACGATTGAAACGCTGGGGATTCCAAATATGTATAATATTTTATATCCTTTCTTTAGAAATTTTAAGAAACTAGAGAATTTCATGCGGAAACCTCGAAAAAATCACCTTTTTTCATCAATTTTTTCGGATTTTTTTTTTCTGAACTTAAAATAGCAAATCTTTGAAGTAACATTCAACAAATATCAACCTAATTCAAGAAAAAACAGAATCAAGGACTCTCTAAAATACTTCAGAATCGGTCGAAACTTTTTTAGTTTTCAAGTCTTTTTTTTCTCTTTTTTTAAATTTCAAATTTTCATTAAATAATTTCTCAACAACTAGAACTTGTTAAAAAATTTTCTATATACCAAAGAAACCCTGTGTAAGTTCTTTCTATTCGTATGTATAACTCTATAAATCTACTCTTGGAAAGTGTATATTTTTGCATTTTTCCGAGTAAACGCCAAAAACGCTAATTTTTGGATACCCGACAAAACATATAATCATCAAAGCGATTCCGCTGGAACCTGAAATTTCTTCGATCGGCCGATCATAATTGGGATTTCATAAGCTGGGGAGATTTTTATCTCTTAGTTATTACTTGTTTGACTACTACCAAATAACTTTTGAATCTCTGTCGTGTTTTTAGCTCCACAATTTTCATGAGATGTTTTGAACAACAAGATACGTTCGGCGGCATTACATTTTCTAAATTTTTTGCTGATATAGAAAAATAAGTTTACTGCAATTTTTCCTGACAACTTTGTTGTTAATTAAGTAAGCCTAAATTCTATGAACATTGGTTAAACAAACTTCAAAATGTAAAAAATAATAAATAAAACTGTTTACAAATAAAAAAGTGTGTTAATAATATATATAATAGTTCCGCTTCAAAGGCATCACTAAATAAACTTAGTTAAGCTGTTCGTTGTACTCTCGGACTTTGTTAAAATGATGCTACTGGTTTATCTGATGCCGGTTTTCATATTGGGCAGAAAACAATTTAATACTATAGTTATTATAATTTACGATACCACACTTGATATTCTACGAACTTCCCTTGAGGCAGTTAAAACTGGCTGGAAAAAAAACAAACGAACCTAATTTCTAAGCCTAATACTTAAGCGTTTTTGTAATTGACCCTCAAAAAAACCCGACCTGGGATAATCGAAAACTATTGCGAATTAGGATACATAGAGACCATATATCGACTCTCGAGAGCATTTACACCAATCCCTATGTTTTGTTATCCTTTTGCGGCTTTTGGTTAAAAAAATATTGGGGTGCGTTTTTGGAAAAATGAAAGTTGGGTTTAGATGATTTTAGCTGATTTCGCATAGAAAAATTGCTTTTTTCATCAACTAAGAGGTCGGGACAGCTAGTATATGGTCTCTAGTTTTCAAAAACGTCAATTGGGGCTAACTTTTTATCATTTTAAGGCAAAAAAAAAACTTATTCGAAAATGGATGCGTTTTTGGTCATTTTTGGGGTTAAGCCCAATTTTTCAAAACAGTGTGTCAAAGTCAATCAATTACCTTGAGTATGTTCTATACATAATTTTCGAGTGTCGTTTGGGTCAATAGGTTTTGCTAAACTGATTCCTTTCCCTTTTTCGAGAGTGTCTGGATTAACTGTTGGTATTTTAAATACCCCTTTTCTTGTAGCTGGGGTGAAATACATGCTGCGTGCACATCTGTATCAAGCCAGAGGTCTTCTTGCAGCTGACGTCACTGGACTGTCTGATCCATTCGCCAGAGTTGTCGTCAGGAATCAGTGCCAGGAGACGCAGGTGAATAAGAACTTCATTTTGCTTCTAATGATTTTTAAATAAAGTAGTTTACTTGTTAAAGTAGTATACTTATTATAATTATTAATTTGAAATTGTGAGAAAAGTTCGCTACGGGTGTCTTCTTATTAAAGTGATTTTTGAAACTCTAAATCCATGTCAGTTTCTTTATTCATTAAAAAAGTCACTTTCCGAATATTTTCAAAAATTTTTAATGAAAGATTTTCAAACTGTCAAAAATGTTAATTTGAAGAAAATTTTTAATGAAAGATTTTCAAACTGTCAAAAATGTTAATTTGAAGAAAATTTTTAATGAAAGATTTTCAAATTGTCAAAAATGTTAATTTGAAGAAAATTTTTAATGAAAGATTTTCACATTGTCAAAAATGTTAATTTGAAGAAAATTTTCAATGAAAGATTTTCAAATTGTCAAAAATGTTCATTTGAAGAAAATTTTTAATGAAAGATTTACAAACTGTCAAAAATGTTAATTTGAAGAAAATTTTTAATGAAAGGTTTTCAAATTGTCAAAAATGTTAATTTGAAGAAAATTTTTAATGAAAGATTTTCAAATTGTCAAAAATGTTAATTTTGGAACCTGATCTAAACTACATTTTATGATTGGATAAATTAAATGTTTTACCAATGTAAAGTATTTAATATTAACCAATCATGATCCATCTAACTAACAACCCACTTATTTGTAAGTGCTGAAGTTACTTGTAATTTCAGCACCAGAGAGATTTGAATTTAACTTAGAAATTAGTTGGACTCTCCCGAGCACTTCAGCAGCCGCAATAAACCAGTATACCCTAGATCTATTGAGCCTAGCAGAGACTAGTTAAACAACCTGAGACTAGATAGTATAAGAGTAAGATTAGGATCGGTATTAGACTAAGAAGTTGCACGAATCTATCCGGCCGAAAATAAGATAGCGTGACGAGCAGACGGTGTACCCTATCCGAAATTACTCTATGAGTTACACTTCGGTCCTAACTCATCTGGTGCGACCATAAGTCTCGAACAAGACCTTAATAGATTAGAATTAACCAAAATAGATTAGAAATTAGACAAAAACATTTACAAAAATGTTATACGACAATAATTTAATCGAAATGTCTCTACGACTCAATAGATCAGAGCCAATATTCCGAACCATAACAGAACTACCCGGAATTGGAAGAAGACCTCGAACCAAAGACGACATACGACAAAGTAGAAACTTGCCGTATAGTTATATGATAGTTCGGCAAAAGCCAGAACAAACTTTTATATTTCGAATACTACTTGCAATGAATTTAGATTTCCATTTGCAAACATAAAACCTTGAAGTTACTCTTCAAAATCATTTCAGGCGCTAAACAAATTTATTAATATACAATAACGATTGATAAAAAGATCTAAGATCGTTTTCCTAAAACTCTGCAGTATTATACAAAACATGTTTGAAAAATATTTATTGGAAAATAAAAATAAAAATTAGTAGCATGACAATAAATGGTTAGTAATCATAAATCATCCTGTTGTTCCAGCTTCATCATCTAAAACATAACAGCAATCATAAACCCACTAACATCATCAAAACACTAAATCTTTCCTTTACACACATTTAAAATTTTATTAAAACTTAAATTCACTTAATTTTAAAACCAGATCATCAAGGCTTATCCTTGGATCTTAAATCATTTTCTACTTAATTAAATTTCAAATTTGATCATCAAGGCTTATCCTTGGATCAAACAGAACAACTTTGTTCTCCCCCACCCACTTAATTAGTGTCTAACGACCTCAAACGTCGATTCACTATCCAACCCTTTCTAAAAACCCAGGACTAATAGAAATTTTTGAACAAAACTAATCATTCAAATTAGGATAAACAGTGAAGAACTTCGGTTATTCATCCTTCACTTGACCCCCCCTCTTACCAGACCCAGGATAAATCTTAGACTTAGTAAGTTTAAAATAGTATCTAACGAACTACTCGCGTTCTAATTATACCTGAACCTTGTGGATCGATTTACTATTCTCCAACCCTTGAACACAATCACTACCCCTAAGTAAGATTAAGTAAGTTAACACCTTAGCTTATACTAGTCACGAGAAAGTAAAAATCATTCTTCGGAATCGATATACTTTTCTCTCCAACCCTGAACAAATAGACCCAGGTTAAGCTAACCAAAAAATCGTAAGAACTAACAGTTTAGGAAAATAGAAATCATTTAACAACCTTTGCATCCGTCATTCTAAACCTTATGTCATTTAAAAACCTAGGAAATAAACAAACAATCGTTTTACACAATTGTGAAATAGATAACAAAAAATACGACCTTGTAATCACACCTCATACACAAACAGTTGGATACATTCGCACAAAACGACAAACACTAAAGAGGAAAATAATAACTAAACAAAGACAAATAACACGAAAAAGATTTTCAAAAAATCGAAACGCATTTTCAGAATCAGAAACCAACAGTTTAGACGAACTTTACAAACTAAAAGAATCAATAGATAAAAATTGCCCACTTCACGATCAACTATATTTTTCTGACTCAGAAACAACTTCAAATTCATCAAAAAGAGGAAAAAGAAGAATAAAAAAGCAGTATAAACACAAACCAGTACATTTGTACAATTGGAATCAACCAATTCGACACATTAATAATTACATATTAACAGTCATCGAACGAAAAAATGAGCTCAACGCACACCCCAGGTGACGAAACCCCAGATGATGATGAAATCTTTCCTTTTATAGTAGACGCAGATACTGATAGAGGAAAACACATATTTTGTCAAAATTTACTCGTAAATTTATTTGAACCCGGAATCAGTCCATGTAAAACAGAGTTCTCAGATGTAAAAATCAAAAGACAAATCATAGATCACTACTTAAAAGATATATGCAACATAACACAACAGTATGGAATCTACTCCATAGAATTCACCTCACCAAACCATAATAATAGAAAATATACAATTCAAACAGACGATCTTGATTTAGAATTTTCAAAAGTTTTTTCAGAATATATAAAAAGCATCCAATATCATAACTCACAAAGAGCAAACTCCATATTCACCAATGAAGTTTTCGCAATAATATATAGTTATATTTCGATATTAGAAAACGAAATCCCAATAACAAATGTCTCACCAAAAGAAACATCTAAACATTTGAAAGTACGACATGAAATCACACTACTCTCTAGTTATTTAAACATCATTAAAGAAAATTTCACGAAAGACGACGTTTCACAACATACAAAACACGATCTACAAAAAATTTTGGCATGGTTCATAATAGATTACTTCACACACAATATTGATTTAATTGCACAAGCAAGAAAAAATTTTAGACCCCAAAATTCGAACGATGATACCGCTATCACAGAACAATCAGATTATGTTTGGGACCCCGAATGGTCTCATCCCGCATTTATAAGCTTTCCACAATCAATCTCAAGTCAAGCAATAGGTACAATATCTTACATAAGAGATTATGTAAGAGTAATACCATTAACAATTGATGCAACACCATTAAACTATAATACATTTTTACCCGATACACAAAATAATAGTTTAAACTCTACAGTTATACACAATGAAAACCTCAATGGAACTAGGAATCTTACTCAACAAGATATCCAGACACCATCACACTTCATAAATGAAGAAATTGTACACACAACAACTACACAACAAAGTATTTCACCAATACGCCCAAATTTAACAACACCAAGAAATACAAATCCTTCACAAACACAGGTAACCTTACAATCAACCGTTAAACCTTCGGTTGCCCCTAAATATTCACATATGGATTACCAAACATACAGACCCATGACAATACCATCAAAAACACGCAAAACATTCACTAGAAACAACTTTGCAGACCATAATTATAATTATACACATCCATCAAAAACATATAACCAACCACAAAGAAATTTTAACCAATATACAAGATCTCGAAATTGGGATAACCCAATGACCCAACCTAATTCAATAAATTTCCAAACAAATCCTCCACAGGATCACAGTGAAAATTACCCATTTTTTCAACAAAATAAAAATAAAAAACAGACATCTTATCAAATGGATTATTTATCCTCAGATGATGATTTCTTACAACCAGATATATTTGCACAAAATACTCAAGAATATCGTAGACAAGGAATACAGAGAACACGTACAAATCATAGAAATTTTTCCCCACAACCAATAGATGCACAAAATCAACAACCAATTCAACAACAAAATCCAATTAATACACAATCTTTTCAACCAATTCAACAACAAAATCCAATGACTGCACACTCGTATCAACCATCACAAATGCAAAATGAAATACCACTCCCATATTATCTCCAACAACATGAGATAACAAGAAACCAACTTTCAAATTTTTCTCAAATGCCAAATGCAGCAGAATCATTACAAATGACAATGAATCCATACCTTATGGGTGGATCATCAATAACATCAAACAAACCTTTAATGGTTTTCACAGGAACAGACCCTGAATACTCTGTAGAAGATTATTTAAATGCAGTAACAGCAAACCTGATTTTAAATATTGGACCTGAACCAATTAATACGCCACTACATCAAAATTGGATACATCGACGCACAGCGTTAATACAAACAACCTTAGATGGCGCAGCCCAAAAATGGTTTTCAGTACTACCTCTAGAAATAAAATCAAACTGGAAAAGATTTACACAAGAATTTTCAAAAATGTTTGACTCCGAAAGAAACAAACAACAACAAAGAGTTTTATGTAATGAAATTCGCAGATTACCAAACGAAACCATCAAGCAAATAGCAGTACGAATCGAAACACTAGTTCGAAAAGCATATTCATTAAATACACATGACTATAAAAACACAAAGATGACAGAAATCTTAATGATGACCTTAACACCACAATTAAGGAAAATAGCAATAAAAAAGAGAGCATCACATCCTTCTTCAATTCGAGAACCCGATTTAGATTTTCGAAA